TGAGTAATTTCCCCATTGAGATGATTGATGATCGTTGCCATAATATTTATTTGTATAATTTCCTGCCGCGTACGTTTTCATTTGTCGGTTCTTTTGATATGCCGACACTGCTTGTATTTCATATGGATTATCGTTGTTGTATATCGATGTTGTTGATGTGTTATTTTGTGGTCTATCTTGGTTAGAATTTCTATGTAGTTGTTTGTTTCTTTGATAGAGAATTTCTTCAATTTTTTGTGCTTCTATAATAATTTCATCTAATGATTCACATCGAGATACTCCAATCATCGTTAATAGATTATTTCTCATCTTGCACATTAGGTGTCGTATGAGGTCATCTTCATTTTCATTTGGCTTTTGTTCTTGCCAGAGGGCACGAAGTCGAACTATAAATTCGTTGATTGTTTCGTTTTCTTCTTGCTTACAATTTTTCCATTGTTGTTCTTGACGTGCCCGTCGCATCGGCGAATTAAATTGATTAAGAAAAATTCCTATAAATTCTGTCCACGTTTGTGGTCGTCTATGTGAGGTACGTAATTGACAGTACCATTCCAGGGCAGTCTCTCGAAGAAATTGAGAGACACCATTGAGTAATGCTTGATCATTCCACTGATTTATTGTTTCTGCATATTCCTTAACTCGAATAAGGAATTGACGAGGATTTTCCGATATGCTTCCGTTAAATGTTGGTATCGCTGCTGATGGTGGAATAACAATTGTATGTGTTGTTTGTGGGGTGAATCTCATTGGGGCTGTTTGTTGTGTAATGATATCAGCATGGTGTCTTCGTTCTGTTCTATTGTGGTGATCGGATTGACCATTATCAAACGATTCATTGATCGTTGATGAATTAAGTTGTGTGTGCGGCGTGGATACGTTCTCTTCCATTAGTTGATTGTGGTCATTTTTTCGTGATGCTTTTCTTTCCAGTGCCTCACAAATTTTTTTCATTTCTGCTCTCATATCTCGAATATTGTCTGTTAATTGCTCCCATTGTTGTTGTTTTTCTTCTAATTTAGACGTTGTTGTGTCTTGCAATTCTTTTGTTCTTTTTTGAATGGTTTCGATCTGATTTATCATTTTTTCTTGTACATTCATTATTTCGTTTGGTACGTTTATATTCATATTTTTGTTTTGTTCCATTACATTGAGGTGAATTTCATCTAGTTTTGTTTCGAGTGCATTCAGACGCGTATTGCTGTTGTTATTTGCTTCAGCTAATTTGTGAACCGCTTGTTCAATTGTTCCTTTTTCAGATGACATAATTTCACTTCGCTTATTTATTTATTTATTTTCGATCAGAAGATTGAGGTTTAGTTTGTCAGGGTCGCCATGTAACGATAAGAATGTTTTATCGTGATATCGAACTGTTTTATTTCAATCATCCTTCTCCTTTTATAGATACACTTTCTTTCTCCGGGGCGCGTCACTCAACCGGAGAGAACGAGAAGGAACACGACAAAGAGGAAGATAGAATATACATGACAAAGAGGAAGAGAGAATACACATGACAATGAGGAGAAAGTCGTTATGCACATTGCCTAGGATAGGCCGAGTGCTTATATCGGCACAGTATCTTAGAAGTGAATTAATACATATGACGTATTTCTGTCTATTTTCAGACGTAATATTGATGTCTTGTGCAGTCAAGTCAACCGTGCATGTGCAATACTACGAAATATATGTGAGAATATTCTAAAGAATAAAAGAGAAAAGAAAATTGCCAAGGCGACAGAAGAGGAAGAATCAGGTCCATTAAATCTTTTCGAAAAAGACGAGTTGATAAATGGTCTCAAAGATTTGTACCATGCAAGTGACAAAAGTGAGCAAGTACGTCTACTCACAATAGCACCAGCCAATTGGGGACGTCAGAAAGTTCAAAAGTTTTTCGACAATCCCGAACGACAAGCTCGCCGATCTCGTGAACTTCGATCAACTAAAGGTGTTCTCACCAACCATTGGATGCTTCTGTCAGTCACGCTGTTATTAAATTCTATGAGCAAGATTGGATCAGCCGAGTTTCACCGAATAAGTCGGATGTCTTATTGATTAAAAAGCAACCTGTTTCCAAACGTTTTATGTTATTAACTATTGGAGAAGCTTTTGAAAAATTAAAAAGTGATTTTTTTAATATGTGATCGGAAGATCGAAGTTCTTCGATCTCAAACCACGTCATGTCCAGCCAATATTTCTTCATGATACCTGCTGTTGTGTTTATTATGAGAATTTCGATTTAGTGCTGAAGGTGAAAATAAGTTGTGCTTTATTCTCCATTGCTGATGCTTTCATTCTAATTTCAACTATTTAGGCATGGAATCGGATTAGCAATCAACAGATCGACAGACGAAAATTAATCGACGATATTTTATGTTCCCCAATTACTGAGTTATGCTATTCTCGTGATTGTGGTAACTGTAGCGTTCGATACCCATCAAATTTCCTCAGGATTATTTTAATGATGATGAAGATGAAATTACGGAATGGACTAGCTGGAAGCGAACAAACAATCGCGTTGCACTGCAGAAAATCAATGGTAGTGTGAGCCTACTTCTAGATTACATCGACGAACAATGGGAAAACTTCCTATCTCATCATTACTTTACGATAATGCAACAATCATATATAGCCGAGATCAAGAAAGTAAGAATATTTTCATCTTGGAACATTTCCAATTTTATTTAGTATTTTCGTTTTTTCCTTTTACAAATAGAGATCCGATCCACATGATGTTGTAATTGTGCAAATGGACTTTGCACAAAATTTCGCTTTGATATCTCAACATGAAGTACAGTCTGCTCATTTTGATAAGCCACAAGCGACTGTTCTCACCATATTTGTTGTACTCGGATCAGAGCACAAGAGTTTTGTGATAATTAGTGATTATCTCGAACACGTAAGATCAGCTTCATATATCTCTATTAAAACTTAACGATGAAAAAATACCTGTTCTAGGACACCAAATTCGTCTACTTCGCTCAGCAGTTGGTGGTCTCAACTGTGAAGCAGATAGCACCACGTGTTCGTCTAATCAACTACGTTACCGATGGTGCGCCATCACATTTCAAGAACCGACATAACATTCTCAACCTTTCATTTCATGAAATTGATTTTGGAGTACGCTCCATATGGACATTCACCGCAACCTCACATGGGAAAGGGCCGGTGGATGGATTGGGAGCAGCAGTAAAGTCAACCGCAACTAGATATCTCATGCGGCATGGACCTGAATAAGCGTTCAAAAGCGCCAAAGAGTTCTATGATTTCTCCAAACAACGACAAGAGTCATCGCAATCTCCTATCGAGCTATTGTATGCTGAATGAAACGACATTGTACGGCTCCATACAGAGAGAAACATAAAGAGATGGGAAAACACCAATGGTAAAGCGATCAATCTTAATTACACTTTTTTCCCGACTGTTTTTTTCAGCTCTCAACGGAATTCGATCATTCCATCAATTCGAGCCAGTCGGTTTTCGTACAATCCAATGCCGTCGTACATCGGAATCTACTATACATATCAGACCTACCAACTATGATGTACTTCTTCATTCTATCTGATTTTTCATCCAACTTTTAACAATCTTATGAGAAAAAAAGTATCGATTTCTGAAGAATATATTAACCGAAAGCTGATATATTGAGGAAATCATTGATTTAGAATGAATTTTTTTCTGAAGTGCACTAGATTCAACGATGAATTTCTCAATTATTTTTGGTTTCAGCATGGTCAAGTGAGACAAGTTGAATCAAGATAAATATATTTACCCTACACCAACATTAGTATTCTCCATACAGAGCTGAACCATGAACAAGTAACATTGAAAAATTTTTAATGATGCGTGATATAAATTGACATTGGAGCAATTTGAAAAAAATAGTATTGTGGTTAAGAAGAATAGAAGTATTCGAAAGAAATAGTTAAATCTTTGAGATCCACACATTCTCATGAAAAAAATACTCCAGCAAGTTTTATTGAAAACGAGAAATTTCAAAATAAAACAGTGTAACGATAATTTTTATGCATTACAACCATAATGTGATATGAAAGAAAATATGATGAGATGTAAACTATCACAGTCTTTTTCATCCACTAGTCGAGGTCTGTTTGAAATGAAACTTTCAGATCATTTCATGCAGTCGTTTCTATAAAAATTCTCAGCTTGGAACTGAAATTTAGCTAAAAATTGCACTAGAAAAACATTTAGGGTATCTAACGGACCAGAATCAAAGTCGGGTGAAAAACTACATACACCGAAAGATAGAGCAATTGACGCTCTACAAAACCTATAATACCGATTTTCAGCCTAATTCGGAAGGGGTCTGCTATTGTGAGTTAATCTTTTTCTGCAGTAAAATTCAGTGCAGTGGTGAAAAACGTTTTTTTTCCCTAGAGTAGCGCCATTTTGTGTGTTTGATGTGCGATAGAGCTGAACTTGGGCTATCAGAATATATATAGTTTGTCGTTTTGAATGTTAAAATAAGGGAGATAATGTTCTCACAATAAATGCAATTTTTTATTTTTTGCACTTTTTTTTTCGAAAATTCGCGAAATCGTATTTCGGCTAATTTTACCCGAAGTCCATATGCTAGCCTATACTTATTTAGGACCAAAATGATCAGCTCACTGAGCTCTACAAACCCTGAAAGTTTCACTCAATTTGGAGAAAGTCGTGTATATAGTGGTACGCTTCGCATGGATTCACCCAATAACAAGCCATAAAGGTATTATACTGTAAAATTTACAGTGTAGAGTAGGGTAAACAAATCTGAAGATGTTGCAGGGTAGGATACGGTAAGGGTAGAGGACCTAAAGGGTAGGGTAGGACAAGGGTACATAAAAATTCCTCTATCAGGGTGCAGGGTATGAGAAAAGCTTACCCTGCACATCTCTAATCAATATGAATGATATTTAATGAAAGCGACAGAAGCAGCATCAATGCAAAGTAAATACATAGAATTACGTATATTGTAATGGCTCGATTGAGAATAGTGTAAGTATTTCATTGAAAAATTTATTTTGTTCTATGAGCATCGAACATGAATGAGGTTGTTGAATAGGGAAAAAGAAAAAGCGTTTTACTATGATTAGTTTCATTCACATTCATCTTGTCCATATATTTTCATTCTAGAAATAAGCGATTTTTGGAATGTGGATCATACAGACAGAAACAAATGAAAAAGGAATTTTTTCTTTTGTATAAAATCAAAATTTTGTTTATTAGTATTCTTTGCAAAACAATGTCAATGGAATGATTCCGTTCAATAATAAAATAAATTATCAGTGATAGTTGTTTGATTTATTGTATATACTGGTTAAAAACCTAACATAGGTTCATCTCTTCGAATATCTTTGACTGATGGAGTATTTGTTCTTGAACTTGATTGAGACAATTGTGATGTTGGAGACATTTCCCTTGGAGGACTATTTTCATTGTTAATTATGGCAATCATCTCTGGTTCCTGACGAATAACAGTTGGAAATGGTATTTTACCTATATCTTCATTATCTACATGAATTATACAAATATTTATGATTATATTTTTTGTACATTTCAATGAATAAAAATACCATTTTGGAAAACAATATAAGTCATTGGATCGATTTGTTCATTTATTAATAAATAAAATAATGGCGGATCAAGACGAGATGATGGTATCGCATAAACTGGACATTGATATGAATCTGTGAATGATTCTGTAGCACATATCTCAATTGATGGACAAGTATTTATTGTTCCACTAAATCAATTATGAAAACATTTATATTAAGATACTAAAATAAATATTACCTAATCGATTTAATTCGATTATTATCTTCAATAATACCATTAATAATTGTTAAACCATTTAAAATAAGATGACGACTTGGAGATGAAATCTTTTTATCTTTCGATGCTGCCCATTGACCAATGCATCGAATCTAAACAAATAAAAAGAATTTCAAAATAAATTCCATGAGAAAACGAAACGATCAACCTTATCTCGTGTAAGATTAATGTTCAATGCATGTGAAAGACACATTAATTCTATGAAATTACAACTACGATGAATACAATGAGAATCGATTTTTTCAACATCTTTAAAAGAATTTATCCAAGAATAATATTCATTAAAACGATGACGACATTCTAAAAAAAATGAATTCCTAATCGTTGAAAAAAAACAACAAAATTGTAAAACAAACGATGAATAAATTGAACAATTGAAATAAATTTTGGTGCGCTAGAATTATTTGACAGCCAAGATAATGGAATTTTATTTCTTTGAAGATCATATCCAATGGATTTAAATCTTTGATTTTTGTCTAATAATAAATTTTCATAGGATAACATATCTTCTATTTGATTGATATCATTTGATATCAGTTCAAGTTGTTTATTAAAATAAAGAATTTCCTATGTTTACATCAAATAATAAATAAAATGAAAGATAACAAACAAAAAAATGAAACATTAAATACCTGATAAAGAGCAATATTCACAAGATCTCGTTTAAAGTCTATAGTCGAAGGCAATTTAAGTAATGGAGGTAAACGTTCTTTAAATAAATGTATATTATCATGAATTAATGATATTTGAAATTTTTCATAGATATTTTCTGATTTGTCATGCCACAATTTATTTATTTTCTCTGTAAAAATCGAAAATTGTTGTTGAAGAGAATTTAATTTTGATGGATAATCATTAAATATTAAATTGATTTGTGGATGTTTTGATAAAAACCATTGTAGATTAAATTGACTTTCATTTTGAGGAATTTCAAATTGACATTCATTTAATCGAATTGAACTTTTTGACTCAATTTGTTGAAAAAGTTCGTTTAAAAGTTTCGTTAATAACGGAGATTGACTTGGAAATCCCATTTCAATTAAGTTTCTCAGATATTTTTTTTCTTTCGTATTTTTATGTAAATTTAAAATAAACTCACTTAAATTTCTTGTCCATTGAAGTGAAAATGAACTTTGCTGGAAAATTTCTTGGTAATAAACAAGAATTGATTGAATTAAAATTGATCCATAAACAAGTGTAAGTTCATCTTTTTGACATTGAATAAGTATTGATGAACAACTCGATATTATTTGTCCAATTAATAATCGAATTGAATTATTTGAATTTTTATATAATAATTTTGATAAAGTTCCTTTTCCTTCAATTAAACAGTCGTAATGATGAATACGAGCATCAAGATAAATAAAATCTACGCAAGCTTCTTTAGTTAATAAAATATCACTCCGACATTGACCTTAAGAAAAGAGAAGGAAAGAAAATTTAAAAAAATAAATTTTGTTGAAATCACTTACGACGAATTTGTTTAATAAAACGTGAAAATGACTTTTGATGAATATTTTTAAAAAATATGATTTCATACTCATCATTAATATCATCGATTGTTTTTATCAATTGACAATCAATTTGACGAATTTTTTTACCTGTTTCTTTCAAAACATTTTCAAGATAATTATCAAAATCGATTTTATTTATTAGAAACTCTCCTGGTAAACTAGATTTCACTGATATTGATGGCAAATTAATAATATTAACACCTTGAAACTGAATATCATTTATTTGTAAATTATTTAAATCAAATTGTTCAATAACATATTCTTGTAAAGAAATCATTAAATGATCTGGATGTAAAAGACGAATTATAAGAAGTTTATCTAATAGTGAATATTGTTTATCATTTGGATTTGGTAATGAATTTAATTTTGGATTATCGTACCAACTTTTCCATTGTTGATCATTTAATAAAATAAATTCAGATAAATGATATAAAAGATCATCTTGATTGAATAGACTTGATAATGATACAATATCAAACCAAATTAAATCAGATTCAATCCATTGTGGTTTTTTACTTAATGTTGATGAATATGATAAAGATTCAAAATTAATTCTTGGTAAACCAGTTGCTAATAATTCAATTTGAAAAATTTCACTTTTTCCATCACTATTTTCGACGGCTGTTTTTAATAATAATTGAAGAAGAACTAAAAATTCCAGACGATCTTCACTAAATAATTGACTAAACAAAGGAAAAGAAAAAAAAAGAAAATTCTCAATTTAATTTATCTATGAAAAATCGTTTTTTGTTTTAACGAACGGTAAAATTATTTTAATAAATGATTGAATCATTTGTTTTATATTTTCATCAATTTGTTTTTGATCAACTGAAGAAAATTCTTCTTTTGTTAAATCATTTATTTCAATTAACAATGGAAGTTGAGGATGTTCTTTAATGATATTAAAATATTCAAGTTTTGATTTTTATTAATCAATAAAACATACGTGTATCTTCGATATCTTTCCAAATTTGTTTATCTTCAGTTGATGTTTGATTATTTAATGGAAATAATTCATCGATTAAATTATAAATAATATTTATTGAAAATTTATAATTATTTCGAGAAAGAAGATTTATTCTTTGAACAACTGAATAGAGTAAAGCACCATGTTGAGCATATGGAAAATAGCAATCGACATAAACTTCAATAGAGTCTAATAATTCATAACATTGTTCAATAACTTCACCTAATAAATATTTTCGTTCTAATGCAACCGATGTTAAAAGAACTTGTTCACCTTCAAATCCATCGCTGAAAAAAAATACATTCTGTTGTTTTGAATTTCTATTTTATAACTATAACACTATAGAGAAAGAAGATCTCAATATACTTTTAAAAAAATAGTCAAGAAAATATTTTCGAGAATATCATCAACGAATAACAAAAGGATAATTAAAAGTATTTCCTTCTAAACAATGAAAATAATAGATTTTAAAACAAACCTAATTGAATTTAATTTAAGAAATGAATCAATTAATTGAATTCTTTGTTGACAAATTAATATTAAACTTAAAATTGATAATTTTCTTTGATAGAAAGTCGGTTGAATACGTTGAAATACTTTTTGTCTTAGATCATCTAATAATGTTTCAACACTATATTGACAATTAATACATGTTGTCATTAATGATAATGATGATGAAACTTTTTCAAGAGAATCAAATTCTGTTTGAATAAAAAAACGAAAGGATGGATGACAAAATAAACGACGACCACAATAAATTATTAAATTTGTATCTACATAAAAAAAAATATTGAATATATTATTTATTTGGAAAACAAAAAGAAAAGGATAATTTTTATTCTTTACCATCTTTCGTATTTAATTTTTGTGATGTTGATTTCCATTGTGCTAATGGATAAATAAGACTGTCTAATAGATTACAATTTTTAATATAAATTTTTGAACCAGATAAAAATGATTGTTCAATTGACATCACAATTTCATGATTTGATCTATTTATAATTAAATATTTATTATTAAACTAAAAACAAACACAAACATACTCATCATCGAAATCAATTGTTTGAGCATTATAATAGTTTTGAATCCATTGATCAGCTTGTCCAAATGGATCAATGATCAATGGTGGATATTCAATTGATTTAACAATAATTGTATGATTTTCCATTTCTGATGATAAAACTCCTTTACTCAACCATTCAAGATACATTTGATCGCCCAATAAAAATTCAATTAATGCATATAGCATTGGGCGATATTCACTTCCACTGATTAATTTTTGTTCTTCATTTATCTGAATTGTTTAAAAAAAAGAAATTTACTTTTTTTCAAAATAAAAAAACCTAATACTTCATTTTGTTCGTCTTGAATTGTATTTAATTGCCAATTAATAATTCTTCCTTTCACACATGATATTTGATCAAAAACAATAGTCATTCCTCTATCTCTAATACATTTAATCCAATGGCTCGTTAACATAAGACGACGAAAACTATATGGATATGGACCAAGATAAATTAGAAAAGCTGAACCAATTGAACAAGTTCCAATTAATGTTGTTTGACGTTCTGCACTTGATTCAAATATTTTACTTGTTCGTTCTAATTCACGAGATAAAATCTGATAAAAAGAAAAAGAATTTTTTCTTTTCAAGACAAATAATATAAAAGACGAACTTCGTTTAATTGCGATGCCGTTTTTAATTGAGTTTCTTTTAATAAGACTTTTTCTTCTTGATCTTTTTTATCAACTGTTGCTTCTTCAAAATTTTGTGATAAATCTTTTAAACGAGCTTCTAATGCCTAATATGAAAACTATGAATTATCTTTTGAAAAAAACTTATAAAACAAAAACTAACTTGACTTTTATTATCTAATAAAATTAATTTTTGATCTTGTTCTAATACATCTTGTTCAATTTCTTTGCATTTTTTATGTAATGGTTTAACTTTTTTAAGTAATATTGTATGATACCTACGTATATTATACTTGTTAGATTGATTTTTAAATTATTTTTCATCTCCTCTTTTTTTTGTAAATAAAATAAATAAATAAATAACTTACTGTAAAACTCTTTTAACCCATTTATAAAGAGTAAAAACAGCATCATGATAAGAAGATTGATTAAGTGGTTTATCTTCAAGATGAACTCGATCAATAATTCCATTAATTAAATTAATTTGTTCTTCTGTTAAATTAACTTTATCAAATAAATGAGTTTCTTCAATGAATCTATCTAAATTTGCCATTTGTCTTTTAGCACCTTTTTGCCATGTGACATCGGCTGTTGGAGATTTTACTTAAATGAAATAAAATGAAATAAAATGAAATAATTCTAAATAGAGATTGTTAATTACATATCATAATAACAGCAGCTAAAGTATCTTCAACTGGTTGTTCAGCTTTTGTAATTGATCTTAATTCTTGTAAAGATTTCATATCGAGACTTTCAATTAATTTTCTTGCATCAGTTGCAATAGCTAAACATTTATATAGATTCTTTTCTTGTGTTAATTCATATTCCGGTAGTAATCTTTTCAATTGTACTGTTCGTCGTGTTTGACTTTTATGAGCACGAATTTGTTGTTCAGCCATAACCATATCTTGACCTATTTGTACTAACATACGTTCTGTACTCTGGAAAAAAACAATTATATATTTATTTAAGCAAATTATAAAAGAGAAAATTAAATTAAAAATACTTTCAGTCTTTCTTCAAGTACAGTTTTTTCATGTTGTAATTCTTTTTCTAATTTTGATGCTGTTTCATGTTGATATTGAATTTGTTCAAGAAGACGTTGAACATCACAATGATTTTCATAGACATTTGCAGATTTTTCATTAAATAATGTTACAAATCTGGTAAAAAACAAAAATTTAATTTTTTTATTCATTTCTGTTGTTTTTTGTTCTCTAACGGAAATTACTTTTCGACAAATTTTGTAAATGTATGATTGTTAATGTGTGGTAATTTTTTAGTATGATCTTCATTGGCTCGTCGTATTGACAGATGCATTGAAGCAAGAAGATGAGCTGTATTTTCACAGCTTGTCTTATCTAACCATTGAACATCTATGGATTTTTTATTTTAAATAAAAAGAAAATGAAATTTGGAATAAAACAAAACGAGGAAAACTGTAATGAAAACCTTTTAAATGGTAAAGGCTATTTTGTACCAGTATTTGAGTATCCCAATGTTGCCAATAAATCAATGATATATTATTGAATATTGATGGATGATCAAGACATAATTTATTATTTATTTCATTCATTAATATTAATACACGAACATTTTCTTTTACATTTCTAAATGCATATATATTTATATATATTTCAATTAATACGTAGTTAACTAAGAGGGAAAAAATAAAACGAAGCAAAAGAAGAAGAAGAAGATGACGATGAAAACTACAAGCAGATGAGACATACCTCAGAATTCTGAAATGTTTTTTTTAGTGCAGGGTGTACATTGAATATGATAATGAGAAACAAAAACGAAACATACCGAAGAAAAAATTCCCAAGCAACAGCTCGAGAAAATGAAAGGCCAGCTTGTTGAACTTGTGTTCGAACTGAATTCAACACTGACGTTTCTTCTTCTAATGAAAATAAACTTGACATTTCTTCCGTATTTAATAAATTTGTAACATGAATTATCAAGTCAATATATTCAAATTCTTCTTCTGTTATTAATAAGATGATTTTTTCATTCTAAAAAAATTTGAATTCGAATTAAAACTTTTATTCAAATAGAAAGCAAAAAACAAAAGACGAACTCGAATGCCTGCATCAATGTATGTTTGTGTTAATTTTTGTTTTATAAAAAATTGTTGACGATCATCAGATGTAATTAAATGACTTGTTTTAAATGAGACTAATTGATAATTAACAATTGATGCAAATACATCAATTATCGATGGATCAAGAACACCTTCAGCCATAATACAACAATGACCATCAACTGTTTGTATTGTATGACATAAACGGCATAATAATTCAATATAACACTAAAATTATTATTTATTAATTTGAAATAAAGAATTACGAAAACGAAATCATTAAAAATCTTACTGGATAAAGTGGAAAGCTTATTTTAGGTTTTTCTTTATTATATTCAATAATGGAATTTCTAACAAGTGCTTCAATTCGATTTTCATCTGTTACAAGATTATAATTATCAGTTAAATAATTTTGTGAATCTCGACTTAGGTTAGCCACAACCATTCCTAAATAATTAATTGAATTTGTTTTTAAATGAGAAAAGAAAGAATCAACGAACCACTCTCTGTAACTTGTAAATTTGAAAATAATTGATTTTGACTAATTAAGGCTTGTTGTTCATTAATCATATTAGTAAAATATTTTTTAACAATTGTTTGATATAATTGTTGATATCTTTGTTGATCGATTTGATCAAAAAGACGTTTTCCATAAATCCAATCACATTCATGATGCCATAAATAAAGTAAATCATCAATTGAACATTCCGGTGTTAAACTAATTGATAAATTTCGAAATAATTGTGTTAATTGTTTCATTGAAAATACATAATGAATACGTTTATTTGTTATTTGAAACATATTTCTCATTCGATCATTTAATTCAACTGTTCCTTTAACTATTCTTTCAACAATCGAACGAAGATATTCAAGACGTTTTAATGTTGAACTACTTAATTTTTCTTTTAAACCAATTGTTGTTGTTGTACCTGTTGTTGGTCGATCACTTGCTGTTGTCGTTGTACTTGGTGTTCCTTTCGTCGTTGTTGTTGTTGTTCCTGTTGTGATTGCTGTCGCTGCTGTTGCTGTTCCTGTCGATAGTGTTGTTGATGTTATTGTTGAAGATTTTCCTGTTGATATACGTGTTGGATTTTCATTTGAATCTTTATTTATCAATTGAGATTCTCCATTATCACCAATAAAATGTCGATTCATTAATTTTGAAAAAATTGACACTAAATCAAATTGATTTGCCATATCCATTTGTATTATATGAAAATGTTTTGTTAAGCGATTTAATTTTAATAACGAGTTTGAGGAATTTATTGTCACAACATAAGTTATATTATCAATATGTTGCCATTTAGAATTCGATGGTGAATAAAGACCATTTGAATCAATATGTTGACGTAATAATTCAACTAATGATTGATCATTACATCGGTCAATCTAATTTTAATTAAAATTGAAATGCTATTTACAATAGAACAAAAAAAAAACTAACTTTAGCAAGATTAAGATCATCAACAAAACAAAACATTTTTCGATTTCCTTTTGTTGTGAAATAAGATGAATGTTTCCATTGTAGTTGTTCTTCGATTTTTTCATAAACCGATAGACCATCTGTTTCTCTAAATAACAGAAATATAACGTTTTATTCATTTTAATTTTAATTACAGAAAAAAACAAACGCATTGCAATTGATTGTTACATAGAAAACATCACTTATATCTCCACCACATGTTGCTTTTAGACGATCACTTATTAGAGAAGTTTTTCCAACTCCTCTTTCTCCAATTAATAATACAGGATGATCATTGTCACTCATCGAACTAATCAAATGTGATAAAGCCTAAAATAATAACAAAGAAAACTAATAATTATTTTTGAAATCAATCAAATTAAACCATTGTATAAGGTGTATGAACAAAGATATTGTTTGGAATTCCTTGATGTGCTGGTGGATTAAATGCTGGTATGGTATCAGACCAAAGAACAAATTGATGTGAATCAATATCATACATCCAATCAGTTATCTTTGAAGAAAAAAAAACCAAATAAATTATTATTTCACAAGATAAAGCAACAGCAAAAAAAAAGTATTACAGATTTTTCTTTTGGAATATTATGAAATGTTTGTCTCCACCAATTTTCAAATTGTTTTCTTGAATTATTTTGAATATGTGTTATAAATGACCATAAAAGAGTAAATTCAACTAATGGACGTAAATCTATCAATGAACATTTATCATTTTTAAGATAATTTTTTAATAAAGTTATTGTCATAGAAACTTTTGATATAAATGATATATTTATCGACGTTTTATCATTCATATCATAGGATTCGATTTTAGTTGTATAGTCAATTAAAATTTTTTCTAATTCTTGATAAATATCATAATTATGAGTTTTATTTGAAAAATTCGATAGAACAAAATCTTTCCATGTCCAAATTTGTTCTTCAATATTAAGCATAACACACGATGAAAGAAATAATGGACTTAAATCATTTAAATTTTCTAACTAAAAATAAACAAAGAAACGATATTTTAATTTTTCGTTTGTAATGAAGATAAAATAAATTTGTTGTCTTACTTCCCAAAAAAGATGAGACGACTGATCTAAATTAAGAATAAAATCTTCAATTGAATGAAGATCATTTGGATTAAAACCATCGAGATGAAGATAAAGATTTTCTTTATTATTTTCAATAATATTATTTAAAAGACCTTTCTGAAAAATATTATTTTGAGAATCATATTTTGAAAATAAATCTTCTGATGACCATAATTGAAGCATAATATGATGATAAATTTGTTTCGAATTAAAAAATGATTTAGCCTTAATAAATGTTTTTATTAAAAGAGTTTTTCCATATTGGCTTTTTCCAATAATAAGAATTTTCGAATGGCTTTCAGTTAAATTATTTAATTGAAATAATTTTTTTAAAATAGTTTCATTTATATTTAAATTAAATTGATTTAAACTTAATTCAAATGCGTCAGAAATATTCCAAATATTTTCATTTAAATATCGATTATTAATTGATGAATTATTTAATGGTAAAGTTTTTAAATAAATTTCTTTTGAAAAACTACTTTTATTTGAAATTAATGAATCAAAACATTTTTTATCATCACTACTAAAACATTTTGATAGAATCGATAAGCCAGTATATAAACATTTTTCTTCGTCTTCAATTTTATTACTATTTAAATATTTTTTTGAATATTTTATTAAGATTTTTATTAATATTGGATTTAAATCAATATTGGATTGAATAATACCTAAATTAAGAAAGAAAAACATTCAGAAGTTTCTTTTCCAAAAAATAAATAATCGAGTCAAACCATTTTGAGAAATATTTTCTGTTAATGATTGATCAACAATATAATAAATAAGATTAATGAAGCGTGTTGTTAATTGAAACGCATGATGAAAACCTGATTGAATTAAATGAGACATTAATAAATGAGAATAATCTGGTCTTGTTAATGTAATAATACGATTTGAAATAATAATATCACTTTTTAAGGATGAGAAATTTTCAATTGCTTGAGGATAAATTGTTGAAAAATAATTTATTTCATTATAATCAGCTAATGTATATGTTTTAGATAAATATTCAAATGATTGATTTTTTTTTATTACTGTTTCATAAAGTATTGATGACAATTGTATAAATAAATGAAGAGAATTTTTATTAAGTTTATTTACATGATTAAATAAAAGAAAATTTCCTTGACAAAGACCAATAAAACAATTGATTATTTCACATTCACTTCTTATTGAATCACATTGAATACGAAATAATGCTCGACCAATATTTGATGACAGATTTTCCATTAAATAATCGCTCTTTAGAAAACAAAAAACAAACATTATCATCAGTTTTTTTTAAACATTAAAATCTTTTACATTTTGATTAAGAATGAAAGTTCCTCCAGGTGATCCTAACGAAAGAAAGATTTTACCAATAAAATCATGTTCACGTGGAGTGAACATTTCTTTATTTTCAACAAAATCATAACCATAATTAATCGACTTTTCTAAAGACTAAAAAAAGAAAAAGAGTTGTGCTCTTGTCAAACAAAGAAAAAGTATTCGATACTTGAATTGATATTTGTTTTGTTTGTGGATTTGAATAATATTTAAGAGTAAATAACCATTCAAATGAGTTTAAATCAATTGGAATTCGTATTAGATAAGATGATAAGATAGTTAGAACATCATCTAATTTTCTCAATGATTCTTTTTTATTTATCAATAAAGATTCATCGTTGGATTTTTCTTCCATATTTTTTATTTCTTCTAACATTGTTTTTGTTAATTCCGACAATTTCTAGTTTCAAAAAACAAATGTATATATATATACAATTAGTTTAGGCAGCTACTGTTACTTCTTTTTTTTTAAATTTTATTTATTGCTTTCTAACTGTTATAATAGAAACATATTCTATCAAAGTAATTAATTATCATTGATTTCAAATTAAAAAACAAATGCGAAGAATTCTGATAAAAATATGATTTTGAAAAAAAAAATACAAAAGACGTAGAATTGATTACAGTTAACAAATGGAATATTGTAGGATCTACAGTTCAAAATCAATTAGACTTGTCAAATCTACATTTATAGAGCTAGTTATCAGGATTGCATGAAATAGAAATCAAGAGGATACTCATTGTGATTGGCATTTTCTAACTAGTAAACTAATGACGAATGAATTTTTTCTACTTGTTTTATAAGTCAAAAAAGAAAACGAACAAATATAGTATAGAATAAAATAGTTTCAGAAATATTTCATGATCTTCCTTTATGAGAGAAAGCTCCTATGATTTATTTCGATGGCACTGATAAATTCTATGAAAATGTTAATATCGAACGATTAGACATTTTCATCTGTTTAAGAAATAAATAAATAAATAAATAATAAAAACCTGTTGTGATTGATTTTCTTTTGAATATTGTTCAATAAGTCTTGTAAAGATTATCTTAAGAACAATAACAACAGTTTGTCGAGGATATTTCATTAACCAATCAAGAATATTTAATTGATTATTTTCTGTTAGTTCTGAAAATGAAAAAGAAAATCTTCTTTTATGAATATTATTTGGTAAAAAATAAAAACCTTGAATAGCCATATCGATTGAATTTTTAATTGTTTCTTTTAAAGTTGTAAGCAAATTATCAATAAATAATTGTATATTTCCTTCGAATGGAACACTCTTCAAATAGATAAAATAAATCATTATTTTTTTCTTATTTGAAAGAAAAACAAACTTTGGTAAAAAGAATTTTTTCATTCTGATGTTCTGTTATTAATCCAATAGCTTCATCTTTATTCTCATCAGAAAATAAAAGATGTTTTAATCCAGGTATAACAAAACAAAGATTATTGCTCAATGATTGAATATTGTAACCTGAAAAAGTAAGAAAGAAAACCAATAAATAAACGAAAGAATCGCTCTTTGTTTTTTATATTTAAAGAAAAACGAAGAAATTTAACCTGATGATAATAAATCAAACAGTTGTATATCATTAAGTAGAGCTAATCTTGCTTGTTTATTATCATTAAATAATTGTTTTCTTAATGATTGTTGACATTTATTTAATTGATTGGTTAAATATTTTAACATAGGAAGAATGTCTTTCAAAAGAAAATAAAAACAAAAAGAGAAATATTGTTTTTGTTAAATCAAGTTTACTTTTCTTTTGGCAACATTTTAAAACATTATTATTATTTGAAACTGAAATCATTAAAATTCGAAAATCTCTATCAGCTTTAGAAAAGATCGAATTAACTTGTGAATCGAATTGAATAAAAGGTATTAAACAATCAATTTGAAGCCAAAGTTGTTGTACACAATTCCACTGTTTTAAAACTGCTTCAATGTGTTGTAATGTTGTTTGCCATTTACTTATTTCATCAAGAAATGATCCAGCTGATTGATTTGTTTGAAGAATTTCTAAATTAACTTGATGATCTTCAATTTCAATAAACATTTTATCCAGATTTGATAATAAATGTATTTTATCAGATGTCTGCAACAGAATTTTGTTTTTTAGTTTTTAAATTAATTGAAATAGAGAAAGTAAATTCTTACTGAAATATCAATATTTAATAATGATTGCGATATTGATCCAATGCTAACTCGAGATTTTTTGTTTGTTGATGAGAGATTCGTCGATACACTTCTTCTTTGTTCATTATTCTATTTAATGCAATATTATTATTATTATTTTATTCATTTGAATTATTCTTCAAGTAAATAGTTTCAAAGCAAAAGAAGGAAACTAATTTTTATTTCTCTATGAATATTAACTATTGATAGATTCTTTAAATTTTGTTAATAAATTTCAAAACAAATTATAATTGATATTAATAAATAAAGAAGAAAATATTACCTGTTTTATTTGATAAGGTATCATTTGAAATGTTTTACTTAACCAAATTTCTTCATACGTTTTCAAAGTTGATTCAAGTTGAAAATCTTTTTCAGCTCGTTTCACTGTTGCTCGAATTTCATCAGCATGATCTTAATAATTGAAAAAAAACAGAAGAATTTTAATTTTTTTCAAATAAAATTTCAATAAAAGAAAACCTTGAAAAGAAAGTGTAAATAATTTTCCAAAAGTTAATTGTCTAAAAGTATCACTATCCATAAGAGTGTTTCCGCCTGTTAAACGTATTAATTGCTTCCAATGACGAGTACGTAATGCACTATTTGATAAATCATCAAGTAATTGAGCACAAATCTAGGCGGATTTTTTTATTCGTATTTGGAATTCAATTAGAAAATAAAAAACAAAATATTCACTTTAATTCTTTTGATATGATCTTCGGTGAAACTGAAAATATCCCAAATACGAGCTAATTTTGGAAGTGATTGTAAATTATCCAGATGTTTATCACATGATGCTAATACTTGTTTACTATCTAATTTTTGCCATTGTTCTTGTTTTATTTCTTCTAAATTATGACGAATATCTCTAAAGAAAAAATAAATTCATAATCTTATTTATAAAATGAGGGAGGAAAAGTTTCGTTATTCTAACTTGACTGTTTTCCATGTAATTGTTAAATGTTTTAAAGTTTCTCGAAATTGATCTAATGTAGAAAAATCAACAACATTTGTATCCAATAGTGTTTGTAATTGTTTATAATCTAATGCTTGTTTATCAAGTTGTTTTTGTCTAGATAAAAATTCATTTAAAAGCGATTGAGCTTGAACAAATGTTAGTTGATGTTGAAATAAATTCGATTTATTAAGATCCAGAATTAATTGATTGATTTTATTTTGAAATGATTTTAAATCTTGCATAATAAGTTTCGATTCTTCTTTTAATGTTGGTCCTAAACGTTGTTTAGCTTGCATTACTTTTGTTTTTAAATTTTGCCAACGATTAATTATCGTTTGATATTTTTCATGTAAAATTAATTCATTTTCATTTGATGACGAATAAATTTTTAATAATGATAATGTTCGACGCATTAATTCAAAACGTATTTCAACTTCTTGTTGCTTACCTGATACTGAATTAAATAAACGCATTATTTTCATAAATGTTTCTGTATCACGTTCAAGGCCAGTTATCGATTCAATTTCAGGTTCCATTGCACCAAGAAAACCATCAACATTATTCAATGATTCACTTGTCTAATTCATAGAAACAAAAAAATGTTCTCTTTCTTCTTCTTGTAAATAAATAAAAAATTCAAACCTGATTGTGAAGATAGTCACAAAATTTCCATAACCATTTATGAGACAGACTTGTTAATGTTTGTTTAATTGGCTTTAAATCAATTCGAACCCATTGAACATTCCAACAATCAGGTAGTGATGATAAATCAGATAGGCAAGCCTGTAGATGTTGATTGAGATTAAAATAAAAAACAAAATTCAATCTTTACTTGATAAATTTTCATTTCATTTTCAAATTCTTGTAAAAGTGGAATTTTTTGAAGATCTTGTTTATCATTTGTTGCACAAAGAAATGATCTTTCAACATGATCAATTAATTCAGCTGTTGGAATCGAACCCATCGAATAAACACTTCTTTAAATTAATAAATAAATAAAATAAAATAAACTTTTAAACTGAATATATAAATTAATTTTGTGATTTAAATAATAGTGAAATGACAACATTAAAGCAAACCTGTAAGCAATTGTCAAACTAAAATATTTATTTCGAATTTATTTTCTTTTTTTGTTATTAAAAGTAAAAAAAGCGTAGTTTTTCGTTTTGAAAAATCAAAAGACTCAAAAGAAAAAGAGAAGAAAATAGCTAACCGTCTTCCAGCATCTTGTTCGTTTAAAAAATTTTTTGGTGTTGCCGATTTTACTTTTTTGTCACCATTTAAAAATAATTGGAACGATTGATTAACTGGTAGTTGATATAAAAATGAATATTGAGAAAATGCTTCGAATAATTTTAATGATTCAGAACAAGTTTCTTCAATTAAATTATTTATTGTATCACGTAAATCAACTATAGATGAATCATCATTCATTAGTTGTGAATATTTATTTAATTTATCATAACCAAGTATATCAATTAAATCACCACGATTAATAAATAAATAAATCCATTCAAGTAAAATTTCTCCAAGACTTGCTTCACTCGTTAATGGTACAAGTGGAGGGTCAAATGATAATTGACAATCATTTAATTGTACAACAATACTTAAAACTTGATGATTTTCATTTGTCATTGCAATAAACATATTTTTCATACTTATTAAACTAGTTGCTTTTATTCCTTCTAATATTAAACTATTTAAATAATCTAAATAATTTAACCAAGATGGCGATGCTGAACTTACAGCTACAACCTAAAAACAAAATTATTTTGTTTTTTAAACGTAAAAGAAGTTAAAAGAACAAACTTTAGCTATATTATCAACTAATGCATGAATTCGATGACCATCAATTATTAATTTTTCATTTAATTTTAATTGAACATTTCTAAGAATAAAAATAAAATAAATCATATTTACAATAGAATAAAGTTTACTTATGTTTTTCAAGTGTCTGTTGAAATGTAGATAGTTGATTATCATTAAAAATATCTCCTTGCAGTTGAGACCAATTATATGCTAATTGTTTTATTAATAAAACATCATGCTGAACAATTTCAAGTGCCTTTGCTGCATCAAGATTTATTAAACCATAAGATTGCTCAATATAATCTGACAAATGAATACTTTTCCATGTTATTTCGTTTAGACCACGATTTATTATCTAAAAATATTCAAATATTTCCTTTTTTTTGTTTTTACAAAATAAACATCTTAGAGAAATACTTGATCAATGCGATTCAATTTTGGTTCAAAAAGAAGCTTTTCTTCTAATTCCATATGTTCAATTAGATAATTATAGCTTGTGGCAATTGATCGAAGACGTTCAACATTTAAACTAAACATTTATTTTTTTTTAAAAACAAAAGAAAAAAGAGAAACAAACATACCGAAGGGTTCGATCATTATCCAACAGTGGAATTAATTCACGAAACTTTGATGGAATTTTTGAATTCAATGGTTGACCAGTTATATAACGAATTTCTCGTAATAAACATTCAAGTGAATTATCGATATTAACAACAATTCTTTCAATAGAATCTTTATCATTATATATTCTTGATGTTTTCTATAAATTTTTAAATCAAAAAAAATGATTGAAAGATATTTTTTCTTTTCGTATTTATCGAGAATATTCAAATTTAATACTGAACTATAAACATAATGAGATCTTAGTTGTTGTTGTTTTTTGAAATTAAAAAACAAATGAAAGATCAACAAAATCAACTTTTGAAAAATTTCTTTGTAGACCTTGTTAATCATTCTACAATTAACTTATTTAATTTGACAACTTCAAGAGAAAATCAAGCTGAGTAAAATGCTCAATTTTAAACCAAATGACTTACAAAAACAGGTTGAAGTAAAAGATCTGATATTTGACTTGTTGCTGATTGTTCTAATTGGCTATAGAGTTCATCTTCGCTTCTAAAAATAAAATATGATATTTAAATTAAATTAAATTAAATTAAAAAAGACCAAAGTAACCGTTGAATTTTATCTTTAGCAATTCTATATGCTTCTTTAAGTTCCCATCCAATATCACTATTAAGAATTTTAGGACAAAGTTCAATAAATTGAGTCATAAAAAGATCAATTCTTTGTTTAAGACCATTTAAATAGAGTAATTGTCTTGATATTGGTGGCCAATGGGAATAAGTTTTATCCATAAAAGATGAATTAACTAATTGTGAAACTGATTGAAATTCTTGTTTAAGATTATCAATAATCCATTGTTGTTCATGTTGAAGTGCACGTTGAACAACATCTCGTTGATATGCACCATGAAAAACATTTAATAATGTTAATTTACTGGAAAGTGTTGTTGCACGTGAGAAACATTGTCGTAATATCCATGCTAATTCATGTTCACAATGTTTTAATTCTGTTCGTAAACGAAAAAATGCTAAATCAAATCGATCATTATCCATTAAATGACTTAAATTTGGACATTCATTATGAAATATTTCAAGAGATTTCGAACTTTTTAATTGAACATCAGCAAGCATTGCATCCATGGTACTCGTCAATGTACCACCAACACGTGCTGTTGCTGATAAATCATTAAATTGAGATATTGTTGATGTTAATTCTTGAACATCATTACATCTAAACAGCAAATATTAATAAGAAAAGATCAAAAATAAAAATATGCTTTACTAATAATAATTGTCAATGAATTATTTAATAATTATTTGAGATTGAATAAAAACTCTTTTTTTCTGTTTTCTTTTTGTTTAATATTTCTTTATGGATAGCGATTATAATTAATTTTAATGAGAAATTTTCAAAGCCAAAAAATCTATTCTCTTATTTTATTTCTTCGATCGATCGAATTTCAATAGACGTGATCGACTTGTGAAGATTACGACATAAAAAAAAACATGAAATAGTATCTGTCTCACATGAATCACTTTTATAAACCTATTCAGAATTCGAATCCGTTACAATAAATTTGTCGTGATCAAGACTGATTCGATTCAATAGAAAATTCTTTATCAATCGATTTAGATTTTTTCTAATCGTTGAAAAACAAGTCCTGTTACTAACAAGAAAAGAGAAATGTCTAAATTCCATTTCCTATTAGTCTTACATAATTACTCAATGAGATGGAGACCGACGATATTTTTTCATTAATCTAAATAGCTAAGTAAACCGTTCAAGAAAACTTTTTTTTTTAAGATTATCATTAATAAGATCTTAAAAATTTGTTCAACTCATTCGTAACTAGATCATAGAAATTTATAGCTTCGCTTTGAAAACCTAACCTTTCAATAAGTGCATTTAATGATTGAAAACATTTTGCATTTCTTGGTGGCCATGGACTTGATTTTCTTAAAACAGAATATGGATCATTATTCGCTGATATATCTTTGTTTGGATCATTTTCTCCATATGGATTAACATGCCAAATAAGCATCTTTGATGGATCAATTCTAGTTGAGAAGAAAAACGAAAACAAAATAGAGAATTATAAAAAGTTTTTAATTTAAATTAACAAACTTTTTTTCTGGAATCATATATTTGGAATTAAGTGCGTCAGCTTTTTCTTTATAGTCTAAATAAGTTCCACGAAACATAGCACAAATGGAAAGCGCATCTTTCAAACTCATCGACGTCTATTCAATAAACAAATTAATTAATTAAAAACGATATTCATCTATAAATTTACATTCGTTGCTTTCGATGATATATTATTAGCTATTATTTGTTTAGCTCGTAGAACAATTTCAGAAGAAACAACTTCTAATAATTGGCTATATTTATCTTTTTGATGATAATAACTGAAAAAATAAATAAAAATAAAAATAAAAATAGAATAGAATTTAACGAACTGAAATCTTACTGTGAATGTTGCCAAATGAGAAAAAGTGTATGCATTAATGATGGAAGATAGAAAAGAATTTCATTGACATTATTTGAGTTATTTATTTGAAATATCCACGGTGATAATGTGCTTACAAATGATAAATTTCTTTCGGCATGTGTTACGGCCTTTTAAGTTGAATAAAAAAAAATTCTTTACTAAAAAAGAAAAGTATTAATAAAACAAACTCGTGTTATTTCAATTTTAATATCCATAAAAGAAGCAAGATATGGTGAACGATTTCGAGCTAAATTCTTAAGAACATCTTGAACAAATGGTGAATCAAGTTGAACAAGAAGATTATTTAATTTATTTATTCTTGATGTCCATAATTGAACTTGATCTTTTATTGAACTTTGCTCACGGCTATAAAATGATGGTTTTAATTCTTCTTGAAGTAGTTGCTAAAATTTCATTAGAAAAATGAATTCTTGTTCTTTATTTTGTTGTTATCAACAAAAAAATAATCAATGAAAACAAACTTTTATTTGTTTGCTCCAATTGGTAAGAGTATTTTCAAGAATAGACAATATTGATTGTTGTCTTTCAGGTTCTTGTTGTGAAATATGTGCAAGAATATTAAATGCAGGTAGTGGAAGTACGATGGATTCAGCTTGAATTGTATGTGTTGCTGCTGTTTGATTAAGTAAACGATGAAATAAATCCAAAAATCGATCCTTTTCAATATCAGATACAAGTAAATTGCAAGATAATAACGGTAGATAAACATCACGACTTATAATATCCATATAATGAACTGTTTCTTGAGGATATAATTCAATTAATGCTACATCTTTATCTGTATGATAGAAAAAATTTGAAAAAAGAAGAATATTTTTCTTTCAAATGAAAATAGGAGACAAACCGAGATTTTCTCTTGATAATTTATTTGCCAAATTAGTTTTGATAAAAAGAACAATTCGTTGGTATGAATTAAAATCAATTGGAATAGCATTAAGAGCTAAAAGATGAGATGATGATTGTGATAAGATATATAAATGTGTTATATCTTCATTCTCCAAAAATTGTTCAATACTCAAACTAATTAATAAAAAAATTATTAAAATATAAAAACAAAAACAAAAATAACGAACCGATTATCATCGTTTTGAATTAATTGTACAAGAGCATCCCGTTTTGGTTCAAGTGTTGCTATTAAACGAGATTCTAACCATTGATAACGAGAATCTTTTTCCATTGTAACTTTTAAATAAAAAAGTTTAAATGAATAAGAAAAAAGAAAAGAGACGCCATTTGACTATGTTTGTATAAAATAGTCACCATCGATAGCCTCTCTTCTCTTTCAATCGATCGCTTCTTTTTCTTTCACCAAAATGAAACGAGAGGGAGTAACTAGTTGCGATAGATCAATCAAGTGCAGAATGTTTAAAAAAACATGCTGGTTCAAATAATGTCTTCTTTAGTCGGAACTTTATTTGGTAATTTACTTTCAATTAGTTTCTCATCAAATATTATCGAAATCTCATAAAATTAACTTTAATTAGAATGAACTTTTCAAAAAAAGTCACCAAAAATATGCCTATTGAATATCTTAGAAAAAAGCATCATTAAATCGAGTAAAATCAATATTCTCAATTTTTCTCCCTATCACTGGCTTTGTTTTTCATTTTTTTGACGGTCTGTTTTTTCTAGTATGAAGACGTTATGATGAATACTGTATACCGTTTTTTTCGAAAGTAACTTTTTATCTATCAAACTTTCTTTTTGCTCGAGAGGGGATTCATGAAGATATTCTTTTATTTTATAATTACATCACTATACATTTGTTCGTATCATAGCACATAACTTTCTTTTTAAAAGTTTAGTCTGATAATTTGAAATGTTTTGAATTCGGTGATTATCAATTTTTGTCATTTTCAATCAAACGAAAGCTCTTTGGTATTAAGCTCATTTCCATTGAAAGTTTTATTTTATGTTAAATATTAGTAAACTATTGGCAAATATGTCAGGAATTTTCACTTTTATAACGGATATTTTAACATATTATGCTAATTTACTTACTGAAGATAATATATTATCATAATCGTATTCATTAATTTGGATATAACAATAGAAGATTGACTAGAGTTTGGCCCAAATTTGATTTTAACGATCTCTTAAGAATAAAAATATGCCAAAATCCTCAATAGATTTGTATTTATTGGTGAATCATTCAAGAGTTGTTTGAATTGTGAAAAACTCTCGATATCTGTTTCGTGTCCATTATAATCCAACAAATTATGCCAGAAAAATAATTCTTTCCTGATATAGATGAGTTGAAGAATCTCGAATATTTGTTCTGTTGGCTACTGCATGTGTAAAGTATACGCAGCGGGTCTTTAAATTATGGTAGTTAAATGAAATATTTCGACAATATCGTCAACACAATATGCTTTAGAATCGCTACTCTGATATTTTACAATTAATCAGCTGTCTGTATAACACGAAATCAATCTAAATATATTTGAACTTTATAGGCGTAGATAATTACAGTAAATAGTGCTGCTTTCTTTCAAAGAATCATAATGATTGTAAATGTAGAATAGGGTACATTTAGCTTGTAGGAATTTCACTGGCGTGGAAATTTGAGATGAACTGCGAAATATGTAGTAGTGAACAATGAGCAGAATCAGATCTACAATTATATTGTATAAAAGTAGGTCACAGGCAGATCAGATAAAATCGAGTAATGCTAATTGACCAATATCAATAACTAACATGAAAACGAACATTAAGATAACGATCATAAAAATAAAGCAGTTGTGTAATCATTTATCTGTTCCTTTATTTGACAAAAACGCATCTAAATATATTTATTTAACACAAAAGCATTATCAATATTACTGTGTTTTCGGGTTCTTATCTATTGTAGTGTAAAAATTTTCATTATTTAAGTGTTTTCACTCAATTCATTCAAAAAGGAAGTTTTTATTAGTTGATTGAAGTAAATAAAAACAGACTAAGACAATGCCCATAAAACTCGTAAGTGATATTGATCAAAACAGAGTAGCACAGCAAATAGAGGTCGACAGCGTAATTCATCATCATCATCATAAACATCAACATGAAGGTGTTCAGTCTGGTAAACTTCACTTTGTTATATTCTTGGCAGCGTTTTCTTCATTGGGTGGATGGTTTTTTGGCTATGATCAAGGTGTGACTGGGGGTATAGTTGTCATGCCATCCTTCAAAGCAGACTTTTGTATTGATGTCTACGGTAATGAAACTGACTGTAACCTACCAGTCACTGCTCTACCATCTGCGTACAGGCAATTTTTAGTATTTTTTACGTTATTCTATAACATCGGCTGTTTTATCGGAGCTGTGTTCATTTCTTCATTTGTGGCCGAAAAGTTCGGACGGCGAGCTATCATATTCACAGCATCGATCACGTTTTTGATTGGCACTTGCATGGTTATTTTTCCGCCAGGACGCTCGAAAAATTTCATGATTTTAATACTTATTGGACGAGTTGTTGAAGGTATGGGTGTTGGCTGTTCGTCATTCTCTTGTCCACTATATGCTTCCGAGATAGCTCCAACAAAGTCACGTGGAATGCTGTCTGGATTTATGCAAATGACTGTAGTAACTGGTTTATTTATCGCAAATGTATTCAATTTTCTCTTCAAAGATCATAAATGGGGTTGGCGATTGTCAAATGGAGTTATTTTAGTGGCCCCAATTGTGATTATGATTGGTATATTTTTCTGTCCTGAAACTCCACGATGGCTGTTCAAGAAAAAAGGTCGAAATGCAGCAGAAAAAAGCCTACAACGCATTCGTAAAATTAACGACGTAACCGTTGAGTTAGACGCTATTTCTGATGCTATTCAGGAGGAAGGAAATCAACTTTCCATCAAAGAACTGTTTACCACAAAGAAAATGCTCGCAAGACTTTTCATTGGTATAGGCATACATGTTTTACAGCAAGCAACGGGTATTAATCCTATATTTACATTTGGTGGCATCATCTATGAAAGTGTTCTTGGAACAGGTCTCGTATCGTTGTTGATTTTATCTGGCGCAAATTTACTAAGCACGATTCCTGCCTTGTTCTTGTTTGATAGATTAGGACGTCGAAATCTTCTAATATTTTGTGGCCTAGCAATGGTAGTTGGTCATCTTGTTGCAGCAACCATATTTGTTACAGGTTGCAATGTTACGGAGACTACCATCAACGGTACCACTGCAACTCTGGATACTGTGATTTGTAGTTCGAATTCTGGCATATTAATGCTTGTCTTTACTGTTGTTTTTGTAGTATTCTTTGCACTTTCGTGGGGACCCATTGCCTGGATTTATGCAGCTGAAATTTTCCCGCTCAATGTTAGGGCTAGAGCTATTTCAATAACAACAGGAAGTAACTGGCTTATGGGTACGCTCATGTCGTACATTTTAGAATTAATATCGCCACTAGGAATACACGGTGTATTTTATCTTTTTAGTGGATTGAGTTTATTGGCTGTCGTATTCGTGTATCTTTTTTGTCCGGAAACAAGAGGGATTCTACTGGAAGATATTGAAGATGAATTTGACAATTTCCAGATGAAAAATAGAACAATCGTAAAAGTACTAGGGAACCTGTGCCAATCGGCAAGAAAAAGAACAGCTAGAGTAGATGTGATTGAAATGAATTAATAATTTATCTGTATGAATGCTTTCATTTTTCTTTTGTATATTTTATTGCAATTATATTGTCAATTGTACCAAGTAAAATTTACTTGTTTTCAAATTGAATATTCTATGTATACAACTCGGAATTCTTTCTGATATTGTGCGTTGAGTACTTGTACTCAATGTACTTGTGACAAATGCAAAGTAACACTGACTATTTGTATTGTTTGATTACTTTCTCTTGCATACTATATAAGTAGAGAGAACAAGAGCTTACCAATATTTTTAATGTAAGATCTAATTACTATTCTAAATGGTATCATTGTCTGCAAATAGCTACAGACTGTTATATTTGGAAATTTGTTAACCGTTGACGACCGACTATTTGAAAAACACCGCATCACTCTCTAGAGGAAAATGTTACCATGTGATAACATCCGGGCAGAAAAGAGTTAAATAAATTTTATTAAACCTATGAATCAAAAAATTCAGCTTCTATCGCAAGATAGTTTTGAATTTTTTTGAAGGGTTACTCTTCGTTATGTTGAAATAGTTCTGTCGCAGGAACAAGTGAGCGATGTCGTTCCGATTATATGTTAGCGACAATTCCGTATTTAATCCAGTAAGACTCCAGTGTTGCTTTAAATTATGCACGTATTTTAAAATATATTATGAATAAATTTACAACAAACTCTCAAATTGTTGATTACTCATTACGTTTTAGAACGAGTTTTGTCTATTATTTTCAAGATAGTATTTATCTCTTCCTTTATTCATAAAATATGACACAAAAAAAATTCAAGATAACGTTTCGCACATAAAATGTTCTTGTCTAGAGTTTAAAATTTTTTATTTCTTGAAAAAAGAAAAAACAAGAATTGCGAAATATTTTTCTTTTCATATATTTCCATTGTTTCCGGCAGTATATTAACAAAGTTGACAGGAGAAAACAAAACAATAAAGAAGAAAAATATGTTTAAAAGCGAAATTTCACATAGAGTTTCCTCTTTTTCAAGAGCCAAAGAGTTTTTTCACTTTTAAGACGAATGTGTTATGTTCGAAAAACTATTGTTTATCTTACATATTCTATTTAAGAAATAGAGGAAGAAATAAGTATAATCTTGAAAGTAATTGTTGATCGCGATTTGTAATAGTCAAACTGCGACATTCGGTACGTGATAAGGATCAAATTATTTTATATTTTAAGAGTATATAACTATAAAATATGTGAAATTTAAAAAAGTGTAAAAGAGCAGGAGCTCGCAATCTTTTAATCGTATGGATAAGATTAAAAACGATTTCATATGCACATCCATCTTTTAAAATTAGTTTTAAACATCGAAGAACTTGACTAAAATATAGACGGATTCTTAAATAGAAATATTATTTTCAATATTTACATTGCATTGTAAGATATTCATTTATTCATTTTTATATTCAATACAAGTTGTCACCTCTGAAATGATAATTCTCAACTTGCAAATAGGGTATTTGTTCCTTTTTTGGCGAGTTTTTCGAAACAAGATGATTCATTATTGAATTTTATTATAAAATATTATTTTTTAAAGAAAAACAAAGAAGTTTATGGATTATTAAATTGTTGCAAATAATTATTTGTATTTTTATGATAGATTAATTGTTGATGCATAGCTTGAAAAAGTTGTTCAGGATAAATAAAATGATCAATTTGTTGAATATGTGAAAAAGCCATCATCGGTAATTTTCTTAACGTTCTTCCACTAAGTCCTTGGCTTAACTTAGCTAAGTTCCATAATTTATCTTTTAATTCATCCGATTGACAAGACGAATAAATAAGATTTTTTTCAATTAATTCTTGAAAACAAGCTCGATATATATGAAATGTTGTTTTTATCGATGGTGGCCCAATAAATAAAATTAAATCAGATCGGTCAATTAAAGCTTGGTCAATTATTTCAATTAGATTCGATGTTGTTAATATAAGAATATTTGAAAATGATTTTAAACGGTCGATTTGTGTTAATAGTGTATTAACAACACGTAACATATCTGATGGTTCATTTGATGATAATGATGATATTCGTGATATCGATAATGATTCAATTTCATCAATGAGAATAATAACAAATGTTAATGGGTCATAACATATTCGTGTTATGTCATCAAAAAATCGTGATAAATTATGAGATGATTCAGAAAACCATTTTGAAAATAGTGATCCAGCATTTAATTCATAAAAATAAAATCTTGAAAATAGCTCTTTCATTCTTATTGATACTTTTTGTGCTAATCCTTTACATAATGTTGTTTTACCACAGCCTAAAACTCGCTTTTCTTTAAATTATATTTAACAAGAAACAATAGAAATTCGTGTCTTAATTTAGATTCAGTTTAAATGGCAATCTATCGATATTTTTTACTGATATTTTTACCTCACAAGTCGAAATTATACTTCATTATCAGAATATGATCCTTAATCATGACTGAGTTGCTAACTTCTCGACTTTCTTTTTTGTTTGTTTCTATATTTAGTCATGGAGACATAGATATTCTCTATTTATATTAACAAATTAGATGTGCCACTAAATAATTAGCCAAGTTGTTTTTGTGTTAAGATAATGTCAAATGATCGATATATAAGTTTTCTTTTTCTGATTCATGCTCATCTCGTAACTTTTACACCCGCAGTCGAATGCATTAGAGTTATAATAATAAAACATCTAGTTTTTCTTTTTATGAACTTATTTTTTGTTATTCAAAATAAATTTTTTGCTTATTCGACTTAGAACAGATAAAAATAATCTATTAATTCAATTCAATTAAGTTCTAAAAACAAACCAGGTGGTCCATAGAGAAGAATTGTTTGATTGCAATGAATAACAGTTCTATCAATATTCGCTTTGTCAAATCTAATAACAGTAAAAACATATTGCATTAATTGAGATTTTAATGGTAAATCAAATTCAAGAGTTTCCCAAAGTGATTCAAATTGATAATGAGGTAATGACCATCGACAAGCTAACTTTTGTTTTTCTCCTTCAATTGAAATTTCGTGATTCAATGGATAATCATCTTTTGTTTTATATAAAATAATATGCATCGAATTGATTTCTTTTGTTTTTATTTTATTTTCTTCAAAGTCACCAACATAAATTTTATTAACATATTCATTGAGAAGAGCTTCTTCAAAAAATCTATTTAATATTAATGAACGATTTAATTCATCTAACAAGAATTTTTCAGAAAAAAAATAATTTCTTTCATTTAAGAACAAAAAAAGAACAAAACCTTGCTTTCGAACAAATTGATAAACTTGTTGTGCAAGTTGATCAAGTAAAGTTTCAGGTAATATTCGACAATTTACTTCAGTAAAAAATCCGTTTGCAAATGCTTGAGCTAAAATTGGAATTGCTTTTGATGCTTGTTCGTATTTAAAATGATTTTTTTCAATAGAAATTCGATCGTCAACAGTAGTTGAAGATAATTTTAACTTATTAATTCGTGATTGTGAAGCTTGTTTAGAATTTTGACGCTTTTTATTTATTTTATTTTGTGTTGAAGATATCACTGATATTGTATCTCTCATCTTTATTTTATTAAATCATAAATCAATACAAATTAACAGAAAATTTGTTCAAATACGCGCTTCTCTTTATAGGAAAATTCGTTTCTTTATCTAATCATATTTGAATTTTGGAAAAAGATTCCCGTTGAAGGACATCGTTTCTTTAAATGTTTACTAATATATAGGAAATATAATTTGTTGTTAAATCCAAAAACAAAAAGACAAAGAAGAACTTAAAAATAAAATTTGATAGTTAAAAAGTCATAATTCAGAAGACGAAAGACGTTTTAAGTAAATTGATTCTACAATATAAGTACATAATAGCTGTTGAATGAATTAATGTTATTCAACTGTAGACAAAAAAATGAAATGAAAATTTTCCATATTTTCTATTACTGTTTTGTCACTAAACTTGCATTTTGTACATTTTCCACCAAACACACTTTGTCTCATTAAAGATAGATTTCAGCATAAGTATCTATTTACAACAATGACCAGAATTTTCTTAATTGATATAACACAACAGCTAAATAGAATCAGTCTTTTAATAGATTATAAAGTTCATTTATAGAAAGAAAGACAAAAGAAAGTAAAATGTTTTCGATAAGAAAATATTTTCTATTTAATTTTGCTTAAGGATGTAAACGTGAGTTTAGATGTCAATGGTTATATTATTGAACACTAAAATTCAGGACACGGCAAAGTCAATCGCTCCAAACAAAACTAGATAATGGAAAGTGACCAATCAAAAGCGATTTGATTTTCATCTATTTTACTTTGGTTACTTCCTTCAAGGAACACTCGAAATCAACAATTATTTTGTATTCCTCAATCATTCATAATAATCAAGAAAGTTTCTTTGAAAATTTTTCTGTATGATTTGTTTTACAATGAAAATAGATCTTTCGACGCATATAAGTTAAACGATGGTGGATTCATACAACACGTAATGGAAATGATTATGTTCTTCTTGTTTAGTGTTAATAAATACTTGAGTGGAATCGAATAGAGGAAAATTAACATTAAATATAAATTCACGACACGACTAATACGACAAGAATAATCAAAAAACGAATATCTATTTATTTTATGTGTGTTAGATGAAAATTAAGATTTCTTTTAACATGAATTGTTAAGGTCAAAGATTTTCCTAATATTTTATTAAAGCAGATTTCAATGGAAAAATCAATGAAGAAAGCAAAGTATTTGATTTCTAATAGGCAGTCAAATTTGTAATCAACAATTCATAAAAAAGAATAATCAAGCAACTTTTTGAGATAATCGTTTATCCGAAGTCTTTATATAACGCTGAAAATTAATAGAAAATAATTTTAATATGAATAGTATGCTTTTCAATAGTAATACACTATCTGTTCTTTTGAACTAACTTGAAAATCTTTTTGATACACCTCCTTTGTTTGTTTTATTGTGCAAATATGTTGATTGTAATTCTTGTTGACTGATTTTTATTTGAACAATTTTACGGTATGTAAGAAAATCAATAAATTATTTTACGAAAATTGTGTTTTCGAAAATATTCGTATTAAAAAAAACAACGTATACATATATATGTAAAAAAAATACTGGGTCGTTTAGTTATTCTTTTTATGTTGTGACATTGTTGTCAACAAATAAATTTCAAATTTAATAAGTAAACAACTTTATGTGAAACACTAAATAGAATATCGATAATATTTAGTTAGTTATGTAACACATGCACGATTCCGAATAAGATGACGTCCTTCTACTTGCTCGAGTATTTTCAATACTAATCGATGCTTATCAATAAAATTCGATGATTTGTTACGATACTGAAATTGTTTTCATCGATTTACTGACGACAAAAGTTGAAGATGTGCAATTCAATATAATATTTTCTTTGTCATTTATTTTTTATCAAGTGCTGTTCTTATTAATCAATAAGATACAAGTTTTACGAAAGACTCAACCGAACTATTTTTCTTACTTCTCTATTTATCTCATCATTTTTATCAAGTAAAGACATTTTGTTATAAAATACGTGAAACTAAAGGATGACATTAAAAAAAGTCTCATGATGATTGGAAGAAACATGAATATTTCTTGAATTGGTTCGTCGATGTCTCTTTAGTCGACACGCCTCCTGACTTATTTCCAATTGAATCAATGAATCGTTGTCGTATGTTTACATGGTGCGTAAATACTAGAAAAAAAAATATCTCATCGAAATCGATTCGTATAAGAGAGTTTTACTTTGATCTACTTATATGAGGAATATTTGACCTCTCAATGGAGAAATGAAGGGCGTCAACATTTTTCTACTTTCAGCGTTGTTTCGGATATACATACACTTGAACAAAACGAAATGGCAGAAGTTTATATAACGTAAACATCGTATCTTTTTCCATTCTATGCTAATATCTAATTACATGATGCCTTGGATTTGATCGTTCACTTGATCCACTGAAGGATATTACATAAACAAACGAATGAAACCATTAGGATTTACGATTGATCGATGATTCGTGAAATGAATGACAATTATGAAAACTCAGATTAATCTGGATTTGCGAGTTTCTGTAGGTTAGTCATTGAAAGAAAACAAGAGAACTTTGAACATCAGTGACGATCATTCAATTGACTTTAGTTTGGGTTCGTACACTTCTACCCAGCTGATTTTCGAACCATTTGGATTCATACTCATGCGAATATGAACATATGGGCATCGTCAATGTCGAGAAATTTTCATGAAAAGTCTTTTTGATTTATCTTTAAATTGAACTTAGATATGTTCACTTCATAATCCTGTTGTTCTTAACTCTCGACACCTCATTCATGTTTGACATCTAAGAACTTGATCAATTCGAAATTGAATCTATCGAAAAACTCTTTCTCGGTCATCAAATCAGATGAACTAAAACAATTCAATAATAATAATAAACGACGTTAACTAATAGAGGACTTTTCCGGTACAGGAAAGATTATGCATAACTCATGGAATGCAGAGTTAACATAATCCTATTAAAGCATTTAATGCTACTAGTGATGTAGTAAAGGATAAGATTCTGTGTTGTCATGTGGAAGAATTAATAAAAGCGGTGTGTCAATTGAATACAATTGTTTCAATGGACGTCTCAGAATTTAAGCTTGACGAAATATATTGATTAAAGATTAGATTTTAAAAAATAACAATTTTACTTTGGCAATCGAGATATATAGATAGTATCTTCGTGTATCTTAAATTCAGTTTAATGATTCAATTTTTCGATAATGACATTGAACTAACAATATAGTTTATTTATATTTTTAAAGAGCGAATAATACTTTTCATTTGAAAATTTATCATTAATGTAAAGTTGTTTTATTTGCAAGCCAGAATTAATCAATGTCAATCTGTTATATCCTTTTAATATCTTAGTTATCGAGTTAATTGTTAAATAATTTTAAAGTTTATGTCGTTATTTCTTGTTTTTAATTAAAATTTTAACCTTGAATTTACTTTGAAATCTGGTAGAAAGGACGGGTGCGCACATAAGACGCCAAATCGACCCATTGGTATTTTCCCTTGTAAGCGCTATTGAATTTTATGTCAACAGAAAGAGTAAGTTGAGACAAACATGTTGGTACTAAATTTGTGAGGTTTTGATCGAATTTTGATGTCTAGAAGCTATGAACAAAATAGCTCATTTTTGGGCATTAATTGAAAATTGATTTATGTACAGGGGATTCAATTCCACAAAAACTATATAAGATAATCTCATACATAAATTATGAATTTGATAGCTCTGAAATAGGGCTTTAATTCTATATAAAAATCATTGATTGATTGTTTATTTCTATGAGATAACGATAGGGTCCTGTGGGAACTGCTTTTCCCCGAATTTTCTCGTCCCCTTTTCCGCGGGAATCGGAAAAGGGAATTTCCGTGGAGATATCGGGAACGGGAATGTTATAAGAATTTTGCCGTTCCCGAAAATCTGTTTGTCCAATTTTTATATTTACTAAAGTATCGATGTAGCAGTTTTTTAGTTATAAATAACTATCGTGTTATATAACTAGCAAAAAAAATAACAAATGTCTGTGTTAAAAAAAACTTAGATAAATTAAGTTTTTATTCACCACATCATACATGTACCCCTGGAAAAAATTAGTTTCAGCCGGTAGTTCATATATATTGTCATTACAATAATATGTTAGTTTTAGACCAATTACATATCCTGAAAGTCCGTGGAGTTTTCTATCACATTGTGTATTTGTTTTGGTTTGCACTTATGCATTACCAAAATAAATTAAATACAATGCAGAAACCCTCGTGTCCAGGTTCCCACAGACAGGATTTTGTCTTCTCAACTAGTTATTTAAAATTTTCATCCCTATAGAAATATCCTTCTAAAAACGTAATTATATATTCTGATAGAGTTTGAAATTATCTATCATCCCATATATTTACTTATTGTCTTGGATATATTTCTTGAGCAATAATCTGAGTACAATGGAAGTATTCTCAATTGGCAAGTATCGAAAACCTACATTTTTTCGCTACTTTTTACTTTTTTCTCTAATTATTATTTCAATCAGAATAAGTTTTTACAAAATGAATTTACATTCTGACAGCCCTTAAAATTCTCTATCATCCTATATATTAATAGTGTCTTGGATTTAAGTAGCAAAAAAATGCAGATTTTTGGTACTTGTCGATTGAAGATGTTTCCATTGTACTCAAATTATTTTTCAGTAAATCAATGAAAGAAAATAAATGAATAGATAGAGGGATAGAGAATTTCAAGCTCTATCAGAATCTGTAATTGCCTTTTGAAAAATATCATTCTATATTAATGAAAAATTTTTATAAGTAGTTTTGATGAAAAAGAAAAATATCAAGTGTATGGAAATCTGGACATGAGGAAGCCTTCACTGTGCTCAATTCGTTTAGTAATGCATAAGTGCCAATTAAATTGTACAGTGAACCGAAAAATTATCCGTACACACACACCCTCAAGCCTTTTTCTTTCTTCTTGCTTTATATTACACAATGCAACTTGAGAGCTTCTATTAGCAGCACATTATGCCTAATATATATACTGTTATTTTCAGCTTTTGAAATCGTTCAAACTCTGTCTTATTGAAAAGGAAGAGAAACGCATGAATTTTTGATAACGAAAAATTATCCGTACAGAACGAAAAATGTGTACTTTATCCATTAAAAAATCTATCACTTCCGGGAATTTACCTGAGAGCGTTCTGGAATGTTCCATAGAAGGTTGTAGAATATTTATGTGAACTATATATAAATAGGACATAGTCGCGTTGATTATTCTAAATATACTTTATGGCACCAAAAAAAGAGCATAGTAATGATCTTCGTACTCTGGTGATTAAACATTATCAGAACGATAAGTCACCACGTGAAATAGCGGCGAAAACATTACTTCCTCGATCTTCAGTTCAATATATAGTCGACAAATATAAATCAACAAAATGTATTGGTAATTTATTTGGACGTGATCGCAAAAGAAAAACAACCGCAAGGGCGGATCGACTTATTCAACGTAAGCTCAAGCTCAATAGATGAAAGTCAGCTACTACCGTGAAGATCGAGATCAAAAATGAACTAGAAATTGCATTGCGCATCGATACAATTCGAAAACAGTCACATGAAATCCGACCATTCGGAGGGTTGCTCGTAAGAAACCTTATGTGAACAAAATCACTCGAGAAAAACGGCTTAAGTTCGCCAAGGAAATGCTTCAAAAACCAGTGGATTTTTGGAAGAATGTTGTTTGGTCCGACGAGTCCAAATTCAATCTTTTCGGTTCGGATGGTAAGGTTATGGTATGGAGAACACGACGTGAAGAATTCGACCGAAAATGTACAGTTCCTACGGTCAAGCACGGTGGTGGTTCAGTTATCGTCTGGGCTGTTTCACCCGTCACGGAGTCGGCAAACTATGTGTATTAGTTTGTGTGATGGACAGATTTTACTATCGAAATATTTTTGAAGAAAATCTGCTACCTTCGATCAATTATTTTAAAATAGGCCAACGATGCATTTTTATGCATGATAACGACCCGAAGCACACTTCAAGACTAATTAAAGATTGGCTTACAGCAAAAGGAATTCAAACCTTTCCTTGGTCACCATATTCGCCGGATTTTAATCCGATAGAGAGTTTATGGAACGCGCTTGAGCGAAGGGTCAAAAAACATCAATCGAAAAACATTACAGAATTTGGACTTCAATTAATACATGAGCGGAATGAAATTGAATTACCTGTATTTGAAAAACTAGTAAATTCAGTTCTTAGTCGATTATATCAATGTATTAAAATGAAAGGTTATTCAACTAAAAACTAACTGTCTTTCTTGTTGTTGTTATTTTTGGAAATAAACAATTATTTCTTTCTGTACGGATAATTTTTCGTTATCAAAAATTCATGCGTTTCTCTTCCTTTTTCAATAAGACAGAGTTTGAACGATTTCAAAAGCTGAAAATAACAGTATATATACTAAGTATAATATGCTACTAATAGAAGCTCCCAAGTTGCATTGTGTAATATAAAACAAGAAGAAAGTAAAAAGCTTGAGGGTGTGTACGGACAATTTTTCGGCTGCCTGAATATATAGAGGGTGATAGACAACTCCACGGCCTTTCAGAATATGTTATTGGTGTTTAAAAAATATATTATTATAATGATAATAAATATGAGAAACAGGCGGGAACTATTTTTTTCCGGGCGGATAATTACATTCATCATTTTCTTTACCATCATCCTGATCAACATCGAAAGTACGATCATCAAGCCTATCTTCCAAAGCAATAATATTGTCATTTTCATTCGAGATTTTTGGTTTTTTCATACCTGTTTGACATGTGGATACTAATAGGAGTTGTTGAAAACTTTCAGGGACGGGAAACGGGAATGAGAATGAGTTTGGTTTTGAGGGAATAAGAAATTTTCAATTTTTCCGAGAACTGGAATAAATTGTTTTTCTCACGGGAACGGGAACCATGAAAAGTCGCTCCCGCAGGACACTAGGTCACACACCTATTCCTGATACTAATTGTGCCAATAAATACGTCTCTCATGTAGGACTAGATTAACTAGGGGGTTCCATAAACCGCCGGACGTCTACTTATAAGTCATAGAGCTAATGAACATATCGCAGTGTCGTAATTAAGTTTACATCACTAATATACATCCTTGTATACGACAACACATAATCGCGTACTGAACAGTACGCAATCTTTCTGTGTATCTTTTCTCCCGATGTATCTCCATCTCTCTCGATACGCTTTCTCTCTATGCATCTTCTTTCTCGCTTTCTCCTATATATTTTTCCTTATTCTCTCTCGGATATATAAGCTCGCGATATGTATGAAATATCAGTTCAGTTCGGTGCTAAACAAGTCAAGTTAGAAGAAAGTTGTGCTTTGCAATACGTACGATTATATTCGGTTGTATTGAAAGACAACATACAGAACTCATTTTGGACAAGAATAAACTTATTGTGTGGAATTGTTGTTAATATTATATACACAGTGGCTAATATATATAGCTGATACTGATTCACACTTGGTTGCCCATCATCCTATCAGGATATATACGCGACTCTATATATCTCGATAGTTACTTGAAGAATATTTACGCGACCTAAATATTTTTCTGTTACACTAATTCTAAGTCAGCCCCCTAGATAAAATATTGTTAACCAGCGACATCTTATAAATCTTCGACACATCTCCGTGGAGGAGATACACAACTTAATTCAATGGCTTTTTCGTGTATGTAGCTCACTGTAAAAAATCCCATGAGTCTAACAAGACGATGCATCTGTCTAAAGTCTTATTCAGACGTGCAATACATCTTGCTTTTAGACATATAGCGACCACAGACAGGAAAATGTCTAATGATTCTCTTTCTCATAAAGTATTATTAAAGCGATTGACCAATAGTTCGAGTTTTTTTAAATTTCATTTCGTGGTTATGTTAACGTATTTTCATAAGTGAAATCAATAGTTTTACTCAATTTCTGCAAAATATTTAGTATCTCAACCTTTCTAGAACTAGTTTTTCCAGTAATTTTTCTTACCTGAACTACCTTATCTTTTTACTCAAGGTGATGACGTTTGTGTTTTTAGTTCAAAATTTCATGAATTTGATTTTTTAAGTACTAATTCTCAACTTCTAAATTTGAACAGGTCTGCATCTCTTAATTCGATATCTGAACTGACTTAAAAAATATAAAAATTATTTTCTTTTTTTTTTCTTTTTCATATATTTATAATTATTATTCAATGGTTCATTTATTTTCTAGATGATAAAAACTTATCGAAAATAACTATCTACGGTTATATTTTAATATTGTATATGTAAAAAATACTAAAAACTTTTTAAAATTTTCTATTTGTAGACTTGTCTTACACCCATCTTCTGTAGACACTTTTATGAATCTATCATTGACGGGCCAGCGTCTGATATGAAGGTGTGGCAATAAATAGTAATGCCTAGTTTTTTTTAAAGAAAGACATGTTTTGGATGTGACATATGTATATATAATATGCAGACAGATATATACCACTAATAATATTTTCAGGTGTGGCAATTACTGTGTGGTGATCCATCGATGCTTATATATACTATGAATATATTTTTCATGTGTGGCAATTGCCACCAATTGCCTCGTGGTGGCCCGCCGATGGAATCTATGGTTTACTAATTCAAGAATTTATATGCTTTTATATGATCATTAGATATTAGGGAAAATATTTTCAATGAAATAATTTTTTTAGACTTAACTGGTGTTCAGGTTACCCTTAATAACTGGAATTTTTTTGAATTCTGTAGTATAAATTTTTCCATGTTACACGGAATTCATGCAGAGTGATTCGCTTTTCGAATTAAATATTATCGAAAATATTTTATTTTAATAAGTCTCATTTTTGATGAATTTCATTTAAAATCAAAAAATTCCAGTTGTTAAGTGTAATTTGAACACAAGTTAAGTCTAAAAAAAAGTATTTCATTGAAAATATTTTTTCTCACATCTAATGTTCATATAAAAACATGAATTCTTGAATTAGTGAACCATAGATTCATAGAAGTGTCTAGAGCAGACGGGTGTAAGACGCTAATTTGCATTGGTGTTAATACTCCAATCAGCATCGATTAAGACACGCCAGTGTCTAAAATCGATTATCCGTTGACAATTGAAGTGTCTTAATAAGACGTATAATAGCGACCAATCAGAAACTGTTTGAAGTGTCTGGTCTAAACGCACGAACCGTCTTGTTTATACATTTTATGTGTCTTGATTTTTTAGAGTACTAGCTACATACACTTTGAGCTCAGAGTGTATGTAGATTATGGGGTCAAACAGACAGAGAAAAATGAATTAACTTAAAGTTGTATTAAGCAACACGATTGGTGTTTCTACGTAACAACGGAAATTATATTGGTTAATTCACTTTTAATTCGTCTTATTTTTTTCGGTCTGTTTGGGACCTATCTTCACCTCAATATCTGTCATTAGGACGATCCGATTGGACAATCATCGGCTAGTGTATTCTCTTTCATTCTTATCATTTAAATTTATTTTTGTTGTCTGTTTACTGGAAACAACGGCATATGCGTTCATTCTCTTCCTATATGTACTTATTATGGATACCACTCTACAGATACTTCTTTACTTTCGTCAGTAGTTCTCCAGTTACAATACCAATTGAAGTAATCAGTCCATATTTTCTAATCAGAAGATAAATTAGCGTGTACAAATGAATTTTTCACTTCACGCATTTATACTCCCTCTCCTGTTTGTTGTTTTTATCGTTCCTTATTTCTTTCCTTCTCTTTCATTTTGCTCATCGTTTTCTGCTCACGGCATAGAAAACTGACGTGAGTAGTATCTTGTCTATATTCAGCCAAAATTGATACATGTGTGTTTTAGAGCAGTATACACTCTAACCTGAAAATTTCATTTTATAACTCTCTAAGCACTTTCGAGCGTAACCATAGACAGTAAAATTCAAAACCAAGCCAACAAAAGAGTTTTTCGTTTCGCATAGTGAATACAAAAACTACGTATACTTGTCATCACACATATCACTATTATTAAATAGTGTCATTCGTCTATAAAGATGCCAGTTTCGTCTCTATATCTTTATTCGTTTAATTAATTGTTTTTAGATAATATTTATTCTGTTTATTATACCTTTGATTGGTCTTATTTTGTTGTCGCTCAACTAAAGCTGCTACAAGGCAATTCATTTTATGTTACTCAGCGAACATATTAATAACCTTTGAGTACTCTTGATTTTATTTTCATAGTAACCTGAAAATGAACTACGTTCGAATCTATGATAGTAAGAAAAAGCATGATACTTGCCTGTTTCTTAAACAAGATAATATTATTCGCAAAGATTATTTTATTGGAACATTTCCCGGTGCCACTGGAATATTATATAAAGACGAACATTTGAATGCATTTATTTCGTATGTTATTAGTAAACCAAGAGAAATCTCTAGAAATATGTTTTATATTTTTTAGAATACCAAGAGATAGTGGTGGAAATTTTGAATTTGAATGGAATTCAAATGTTGTATATCAGTTAGTCTATGCTGATGGTATGAAAATGAAAAAAAAAGAAATGATTTTATGACATTATACGTATCGTTAATCCCTTAGATTATAGAAATCGTTCCTTATCATCATCATCGTCGTCGAATAGATGGGAATTTCCGTATTGGCTCAGGGTCGCCGTAGGTAAGTTTTACTTTTTTTATTTTGTTCATTACAAGAAAATTGAAATTTTTGCTCAGTGTTAATTAATCTCAATGTCTATTTGTTTTCTTTTTAATATTAGGCTTGTTCAAAGCTCCAAATTCGAATAGTCATTATAAAAAAACAATATAATTAATTGTTTTAATAGTAAGCGATGAAAGTCTTCCGCTATTTGTCACTTTGCTTTTCATAATACCTATTGAATGTAACAGCACGCATACTGCTTTTAGTGTCCCTAACCAATGCTTGGTAGTAGAATGCTTATTATCAATTATATGTCCTATAGCAATCTAACCAAAATAATATAAACATGATCGTCTGTAGCTTGTGCTTTATATCTTGTCTTCTGCAACATTATCTAAGCATAGCCTTATTGAATGTTTGTATTCTAGGTATTTTTGTAATGTGGATCGGCTCCATCATTCCATCTCTTTGGTCGAACATTTACGAAGAAATTGTTAAAAAAATTTCATATCCATCCATCAATCATACAGTTAATAAATCATATTTAATGGAAAGAATTATAGTTTTTTGTTGATTATTTCGATATTATACGTGATATCAATTGTATTTGTTACACCTGTATTAATGAATTCGATATGCAACAAAGTAAAAACGTATATTCAAAATATTGAACTAGAGACGTTGACATATAATGCATTAAGCCCCCCTCCACTTGTTCTTCCTTGATTCTGCTGACAGCACAGCGTGGAAAAGTATGGCTGATGATTTGAACATTTGTTTTTTGTGTTGAATATTTCTTTCTCTCTTTCTTTCTCTAGACGAAAGTTAGCTATTGTTATTGATATTCTTATGTTGTTCTGAAATTAAATAAATAAATGGAAACTAAGGAAAAGGTTTTGGAATCTAGCAAGCTTCTTTTTTCCAACATATAATTATGTGACTTACATAAATAAATATCGTTAACTAATGAATCATACAGCGTTGGCTAAAAGTATCTTATTTTCTTGAGCTGTCATTCATTATTTTAAGAGATAAAAAACTGTAATTCTATGCTTATATACTCTACTCTATTATGAACGCCGTTTCTGAGTGATTTCATATGCCGTACGATTACAAATATTACGATGAACTGATAATAGGTCGCAATCATATCCTTTTTGTGAGTCTCATAATTCAGAAAACCAAAGATGTTTTAAGTGAACCGACTCTACAATATAAATGCATAGCTGTTGAATGAATTGATGTTATTTAACTGTAGACGAAAAATGAAATAAAGATTTTCAATATTATCTAATTTTGTTTTGTGATTAAAGGCACTTGTTTTCATCAATATTAATAAGATTTAAAAAAAAAAGTATGATTTTCTATGTTGTTTGGATTTTTTTTGTCTAAATTTTCTGTTTCTTAATTTATTATTCTTAATTTTGTTATTTTTATCTTCTAAATATTCTTGCTACGTACTGTTTTTCACTTTTTCCCAATATATCGCTACGATCCTACTTTCATTTTCTACCAAACACACATTATCTAATTAATGAGAAAAACAATTTTTAAACCTATAATTTTCAAATAGGAAAACTAAATTATGTACATATAAAATCGATGTTTGTTAGAATCTTATTTTTTTCTTCTAATTATAGAATTCAGCATAGTTTTCTATTTAGAACAATGTCCAAAATTTCTTAATTGATATAACAAAGAGAATGACATGATAAAGAAAACAACAACTAAATAGAATCAGTCTTTTAATAGATTATAAAGTTCATTTATAGAAAGAAAGACAAAAGAAAGTAAAATGTTTTCGATAAGAAAATATTTTCTATTTAATTTTGCTTAAGGATGTAAACGTGAGTTTAGATGTCAATGGTTATATTATTGAACACTAAAATTCAGGACACGGCAAAGTCAATCGCTCCAAACAAAACTAGATAATGGAAAGTGACCAATCAAAAGCGATTTGATTTTCATCTATTTTACTTTGGTTACTTCCTTCAAGGAACACTCGAAATCAACAATTATTTTGTATTCCTCAATCATTCATAATAATCAAGAAAGTTTCTTTGAAAATTTTTCTGTATGATTTGTTTTACAATGAAAATAGATCTTTCGACGCATATAAGTTAAACGATGGTGGATTCATACAACACGTAATGGAAATGATTATGTTCTTCTTGTTTAGTGTTAATAAATACTTGAGTGGAATCGAATAGAGGAAAATTAACATTAAATATAAATTCACGACACGACTAATACGACAAGAATAATCAAAAAACGAATATCTATTTATTTTATGTGTGTTAGATGAAAATTAAGATTTCTTTTAACATGAATTGTTAAGGTCAAAGATTTTCCTAATATTTTATTAAAGCAGATTTCAATGGAAAAATCAATGAAGAAAGCAAAGTATTTGATTTCTAATAGGCAGTCAAATTTGTAATCAACAATTCATAAAAAAGAATAATCAAGCAACTTTTTGAGATAATCGTTTATCCGAAGTCTTTATATAACGCTGAAAATTAATAGAAAATAATTTTAATATGAATAGTATGCTTTTCAATAGTAATACACTATCTGTTCTTTTGAACTAACTTGAAAATCTTTTTGATACACCTCCTTTGTTTGTTTTATTGTGCAAATATGTTGATTGTAATTCTTGTTGACTGATTTTTATTTGAACAATTTTACGGTATGTAAGAAAATCAATAAATTATTTTACGAAAATTGTGTTTTCGAAAATATTCGTATTAAAAAAAACAACGTATACATATATATGTAAAAAAAATACTGGGTCGTTTAGTTATTCTTTTTATGTTGTGACATTGTTGTCAACAAATAAATTTCAAATTTAATAAGTAAACAACTTTATGTGAAACACTAAATAGAATATCGATAATATTTAGTTAGTTATGTAACACATGCACGATTCCGAATAAGATGACGTCCTTCTACTTGCTCGAGTATTTTCAATACTAATCGATGCTTATCAATAAAATTCGATGATTTGTTACGATACTGAAATTGTTTTCATCGATTTACTGACGACAAAAGTTGAAGATGTGCAATTCAATATAATATTTTCTTTGTCATTTATTTTTTATCAAGTGCTGTTCTTATTAATCAATAAGATACAAGTTTTACGAAAGACTCAACCGAACTATTTTTCTTACTTCTCTATTTATCTCATCATTTTTATCAAGTAAAGACATTTTGTTATAAAATACGTGAAACTAAAGGATGACATTAAAAAAAGTCTCATGATGATTGGAAGAAACATGAATATTTCTTGAATTGGTTCGTCGATGTCTCTTTAGTCGACACGCCTCCTGACTTATTTCCAATTGAATCAATGAATCGTTGTCGTATGTTTACATGGTGCGTAAATACTAGAAAAAAAAATATCTCATCGAAATCGATTCGTATAAGAGAGTTTTACTTTGATCTACTTATATGAGGAATATTTGACCTCTCAATGGAGAAATGAAGGGCGTCAACATTTTTCTACTTTCAGCGTTGTTTCGGATATACATACACTTGAACAAAACGAAATGGCAGAAGTTTATATAACGTAAACATCGTATCTTTTTCCATTCTATGCTAATATCTAATTACATGATGCCTTGGATTTGATCGTTCACTTGATCCACTGAAGGATATTACATAAACAAACGAATGAAACCATTAGGATTTACGATTGATCGATGATTCGTGAAATGAATGACAATTATGAAAACTCAGATTAATCTGGATTTGCGAGTTTCTGTAGGTTAGTCATTGAAAGAAAACAAGAGAACTTTGAACATCAGTGACGATCATTCAATTGACTTTAGTTTGGGTTCGTACACTTCTACCCAGCTGATTTTCGAACCATTTGGATTCATACTCATGCGAATATGAACATATGGGCATCGTCAATGTCGAGAAATTTTCATGAAAAGTCTTTTTGATTTATCTTTAAATTGAACTTAGATATGTTCACTTCATAATCCTGTTGTTCTTAACTCTCGACACCTCATTCATGTTTGACATCTAAGAACTTGATCAATTCGAAATTGAATCTATCGAAAAACTCTTTCTCGGTCATCAAATCAGATGAACTAAAACAATTCAATAATAATAATAAACGACGTTAACTAATAGAGGACTTTTCCGGTACAGGAAAGATTATGCATAACTCATGGAATGCAGAGTTAACATAATCCTATTAAAGCATTTAATGCTACTAGTGATGTAGTAAAGGATAAGATTCTGTGTTGTCATGTGGAAGAATTAATAAAAGCGGTGTGTCAATTGAATACAATTGTTTCAATGGACGTCTCAGAATTTAAGCTTGACGAAATATATTGATTAAAGATTAGATTTTAAAAAATAACAATTTTACTTTGGCAATCGAGATATATAGATAGTATCTTCGTGTATCTTAAATTCAGTTTAATGATTCAATTTTTCGATAATGACATTGAACTAACAATATAGTTTATTTATATTTTTAAAGAGCGAATAATACTTTTCATTTGAAAATTTATCATTAATGTAAAGTTGTTTTATTTGCAAGCCAGAATTAATCAATGTCAATCTGTTATATCCTTTTAATATCTTAGTTATCGAGTTAATTGTTAAATAATTTTAAAGTTTATGTCGTTATTTCTTGTTTTTAATTAAAATTTTAACNGATAATGACATTGAACTAACAATATAGTTTATTTATATTTTTAAAGAGCGAATAATACTTTTCATTTGAAAATTTATCATTAATGTCAAGTTGTTTTATTTGCAAGCCAGAATTAATCAATGTCAATCTGTTATATCCTTTTAATATCTTAGTTATCGAGTTAATTGTTAAATAATTTTAAAGTTTATGTCGTTATTTCTTGTTTTTAATTAAAATTTTAACGTTGAATTTACTTTGAAATCTGGTAGAGATTTCTAAACAACACTTTCTCTTATTAAATTTTATCTCGAATTTTCTAATTTCAATTGATATGAATATCGATTTAATGCAATAGTATTATCTTCTTTTAATATTCAATTACTCAACAGAATAATAAATTTTCTTTAGGAAAATCCTCTTTTATTTGTTTTAATTAAGACAAGGAAAATAAATATTTGATATTCTTAATTTAACCAAAAGAAGCCAAGATAAATTACATTGTGAATTGGTTTTTGTGAAGAAAAATAAAATTATATAAAATGTAAGAATATGTCAACTATGTCAGTGGTTACTAAATGAATCAGTCAATGTAGAAATGAACGAATACCATTTTTAATAAACAAATAACAAAACTAAAAGCAATCGATAATGTATGCATTTGTCTTGTTGGTGGAGAAAGATGCTATCAACATTTTTTTCCTTTCGTGTCAAGAACAAAAAATAGATGACCTTGTTTCAATATCAATCAAACTGTCATTTCTTATCAATTCGATGTCTTTTGCTTAGCATTGTATTTTCTCATTAAAGAGAATAAGAGAGGAAAAAATCTTTGTTAAATTAACTGACTGATTGCAAATTAGTGAGCAAGATAAAATGATGTTCAATAAGTAAATGAATATCTAGAAAATCTTGTTGAATTGATTAGATAATAGAAGACAGGATGAACGAGACACATCCTATTTGCTCTTCCGTGTCTCTCTCTGTGCTATGCTTTAACGTAATTAACAATGATTGCCGCAAAGAAGTTACATTATCAATCGAACAGAAGAAACAGTTGTCAAAACGACTGACTGATTGATTGGAGATGTCGACCAAACAAATAGAGAACAAAGAAAGAAGTGTTTCCTTCCAGATAGAACGAGAGAACCATCATTGATCGAAGCGCGTTCCGATTGTCAAAGTAATGAGGTATTTTCTATTGGTGAGAATGTCAAAACGATTAATGTATAGTAGTTAATCGCTGTTTCATAGTATTATTTTTCCAAATGACTTCTGTTTGTTTTGCCCATGTCTTTTTTTCAGAGGAATATTACCCATGTAATGACACCTGCATTGTCTACTAAATAGACCATTACTATATCCTTAGAACTTTTTCTACAATCATTTTCCTTTAACTATTTTTTCTTTTTTGTTCTCATTAGTTATTCGATGAAGGAAGCATACAAATAGACTCTTACCTTTCCTCTTTAAAATAAAAATAACTCGTTATATAGATAATTGTACAGTCAAACAAAAAATAAAACAAAACATAAATTATGAAAAAGGCTTGTCCTTGTTCGATTATTATCAATGTTCTTTTGTTCTTCTTCTCGAATTAAATATCTAAACTATTTTATCATCTTTTTCATATCCATTAGATCGACATTATAGATAATGAACAGCAGTTTAGATAGCCGTGATGATCCTCCCCTTGTATTGAGTCTTCCACCAATCCCTCAATTGGTTATATTAGGTATTATATTTATTGCTTCAGTTATTCTTAATTGCATATCAATAATAAGTATTGTTGGCGCCCGAGCAATAACACCAATAAATCTATTAATTATTAATTTGGCTGTCAGTGACATTGTTTATTCCTTGACCATTCCAATATTTGCGGTACACATTGTTATTCCATGGTGGCCATTCGGGCGTGTTGGTTGTCAATTAGTGATTGCAATTGACATTATTGCTATGATTGTAAGTTTTTGTTTTCATTTTTTGATTAATGATTAGTTCTTCTACTGTGATATTTAAAAGAACGAGCCAGTTTATTAATAATTATAATCATGTATCTTAATTGTTTTCATGGATACTTTCGTTTTGTTTCATTTGAAGATCAAATGAAATTATTTTTTGATATTATTTTCACATGACTTCATTAATTTGATCAAGATATAGAGAAAAATGAGCCAACGTTCTACTAAAACTAAAAAGCATTATGTTCATATTTGGTTCTCTAGAAAATAATATCACTATGAGAAAGATTGTTTCATTAAAATATTGATCAAGGTCTTCCCCAACGTAAAATACATAAATAATATTTCATGTAGATTTTTATCCAGACTATTACTTTTGTTTCAGATTAAAAAATAAATAATAGCAAAAATATTTAACTATGTACGTAGATTTTTTTCTCTATATCTTGATCAAATCAATGAAACCATCTGAAAAGAATTTCGTTGGGTTTTCAAATACCTTCATCATTAGAAGAGAAAAAAGTAAACTAAAATGAATGCTTGCTGAATCGACAAGAAGAAAAACAAATATTTCGATTTGTCAAAATTATCTTTTGGATTGAAAAACACCATTGTGAAAGATTATTAATTCAATAAATAAAATTAATCGAATTAATATTTCTTTTGTGTTGCTTTGATTTATATGATTGAGAAAATTAAATTCCAGTAAATCTTATTCGTCAACTAATCAAACTACTTGAAATTCTAGTATTTATTTAGATACTTTCTATCTACTAAAGTTTTTTTTTAGAGAAAAGAGATTAAATAAGAAAGTTCAGTCAATTATTTAATAAAAGAAAAAAATGAATAAAATTATAGGTTGGTGTTTATACAATAACGGCGTTAAGTATTGAACGTTATATGGATGTACGTGAAACATCTCGTCGTTATAATGATCAAGTTAAATCAGCATTTGTATTAGGTTTTATTAGTTTATTATGGTTATTTGCAATATTGTTTCCATTACCAATGTCATCATCATTGTTTGTTCATGATCGAACTCGAGCTGCATTAGTATCGGGTGTTAGCGAATGTAGATCACGTTGGACACCAGTTGAATTATCTCGATATGTTCAATTAAAATTTTTTTGTGCATTTTTACTTCCATCATTAATAACATGTATATTTTCATTTCTTTTAATTATATTTCTTCATCGATGGTCAATGAGATTTCGACGTCTTTCATTACCAAATAATTCCGTAAATAATTATAAAAGACGTGCAACAACACTTGTTTTATTAATAATAATATCATTTTTTGTTCTTTGGTCTCCATTATGGATTCTTCAACTTTATGATACATTTAATGAACAAGGACCAACACCTTACATTCAAATATTAAATTTTCTAACACTTGTTTTTGTTTATGCAAATGGTTTATTAAATCCTTTACTTTATTTAATATTAACGCAAAATTTTCGTGATTACATGAGAAGAAACAAATGGTCACCATGGAAACGGCGAAAGCAATCAAGAAATAAACATCACACTTTATTTTATACAACAACACCAATTATTAATGAAAATCGAATTCGAGATCGTCCAACAAGTTTCATCATACATCATGATGATGATCAACATGCTTTTGTACCAACTGATGGAAGTTCAGCAGCTATTTAAATTTATTTTCATCTTTATTTCAAAAGTAAATCTATCAAGTCTCTCGGTTGAGTCTTATCTCAAATTAATTATTTCTACTTCGCTTTTTTTCTTCATTTTAAATAAAAACTATAAACAAATACTTATCATAGAACAGATCTAAAATATATAGAGTATTGATTTATGTTAATTTCTATTTAGGTTAAATAGACACATATTCCGTATTTTTGGAAAAAAATCTTCTTTGATAAATTTAATGTAAATTGAAATCTATAGTTTCGTATTGGAAGGCCATTGAATACATTGAATATCTATGAGATAGTCTCTATCAGAGCTCCGCGGGACAACCAAAAAGTTGTCCCGTCCCGTCCCACGTCCCGCAGTTGCCTTGTCCCGTCCCGTCCCGTCCCGTTTTATTTTTCTTACATCGTCCCGTCCCGTCCCGCTTTTCAGCCGCCTCGTCCCGTCCCGTCCCGTCCCGTCCCGTCCCTTCCCGGCTGGTCTCGTTCTGCTATGTGTATGTAAGTCTTTTTTCTCTACATACAGTTGGAAAAGTGCAGCTAGTTTATATTCTTTTTTAATGTGAATAATTTATTTTACTATCGAGCTTTTTAAATATTACATTTACATCTAAATAATTTAACAAAAAAAAGAAAAATTCAACAAGAGTTTCAGGTTCATTGAGTAACTGATCTGAGAAAAAGTATATTGTCGACATTGTTTGGATTGATTGACGATCGACGTTCAGACATCACGAGTCCACCTCCACTAAATTCACGCTCGACTGCAGCTGTAGTTGCAGGAATACAATGGATCGTACGAGCCACTTTCGACAATAGAGGGAAATGTTTCTGGTTTGCTTTCCAAAATATTAGAGGATTATCGACGATCAGTTCAGGATCGATGCGCATTGATAAATATTTCTCGACTTCATCTTCTGCTTCACCATACTCATCACTAAGGTCGCCTGATTCGTATTCTTGGCCAAATCTTTTTTTTTTCTTGAGAGG